ATTTGTTGCCTGTTGCCCTAAACCCATTGGCAGACGTTGAACAATAAAGCACTGGAAATAAGCACTTTATCCCTTTAGTTTTAAAATACCTAGTAAACAAAACAATTTCAAAGTTTTAAATTCAAAGTTAGGTTAAGTTTAAATAGCGGACGCGACGCGAACAGAATTCTTTCCGATCCGATAACTATAAAAATGAAGCGAGTTATTACCCACCTCACGTAAAGGAAATAACACCTGGCCTTATTAACGTCCATGCACGCTATTCGGTTTAGCGATATCTCTCTATTACGCTGTTTATTGTTATTTTACGCGAGTTTATCTTTGCGCACAGGAAATTTTACTCGTTTGCACATCGTCATAAAAAAGAATTTTCGTACCACGAATTAGGGATAAGATTTTTATCTGTATACATATAGTATACCTAATTTGTGGTAGTAGCCAGAGATATAAATGTAGTAGTATTTTGGTTTAATGGCTACAGCTATCCGAGCGGATAATAGAATTATCGTTTTTTAATAAAAGTTAAAAAAAAACATTATAAAACTAGAATACTATCCGGTTTTATATTAACTCTCTCTGAGTTTACAAAAAGCATTCAAAAAAAATGTAGATCCTTCAAATCCTTATTTGCGTCTAGCCCCAGCAAGGCAACTATTAAGCTTTGGTTAGCGTGGTTATTTGGACGGTGTTCATTAATTTAATAACAACCAATAACTGTACACCCTGTATATCGTTATAAACTTGTGTAGCGTTCCGAAAGTTGGTAATGCATAACGGGATCTGTAATATTCGTATTCTGTAAACATAAAAGTTTATCTTTTTGTTTATTGAGTTTGGCCATATAATAAGCAACCACATCAAAACAAGTTATTTTTGGGCGGATATGTGTTTGTTCGGGGTGAATAACAATAATAATTATCGTTACTTTTGGATTAACACGATAAATTGTTAAGATAATAAAGTTTCTCCATCAAAACAAGATTAAATGTTAATCGTATGCAAAAACATTGTAATCCTTCTAATGATATGTTTTAACAAAAATAATTGTTACTTGTCTCTCAGTAAAATACGTTTCTTGGATTTGAATAAAAATGAGGAAAACAATTTTAATTTTATTATTTGCAAGGTTTTCAAAAATATACAAGGTGTGTACATTAGTGTGAGGAAGTCCAGTATCGTTGTTGTTGACAAAGATTTGGGTTATAAAGGTGCATATCTTAAATAAAAAAGCATTTTTTAAAAATTGCCATATTAGCGATGTCATGAAAATACCCTGTATAAGATAATGAAAATGCTTTCAGGGATTTATTCCATTACCTTTGGTGTTTAGGAAAATATTAGTTAATTTTAAAAATCGAAAGGGGGACTATACCGTATGATCGAGAAAAAAAACGGCGTCAAAGACGGCTGGAGAGTGACAATTGATGATAATTTTGGCGAGGTCAATCTCTAGACGTTATTCACTAAAAATTAAAAATTGATATATAAAACTTGTTAAAAATTAACACTAATTATAGAAGGATTAAAAGATTATAGAACGTTTCCAGACAATCAAATCGATTGTCATTTCCCAGCCATTTTTGAAGCCGTTTTTTTTTATCGAAATTTACTTTGATCTTAATGAAAAAACCCGGAATGTATGAAATATAAAAAATAAAATGGAGATGAGAATCTTTATAATTTAAAATCAAAACAATGACAAATACTCTCTACTCTATAGTATCTAGGGATTTAATTGAATGATCTGTCCTGATAAGGTGTTAAAAATCATTTTTTTAAACAATTTAAGGTAGTTCTATCGTAGATATTGATAAGTTTGTGTGTTTTATACTTAACTAATTAGTACTTAAAGCCATATCTCAGTTGATTCAGTTATATTTATTCAATTGACCAACAAGATTCCTGTTACAGAGGCACTCGAACATCCATTAAAAATATCTGTTTATTAATTTGACTTTTGTAAATCTACCGATAAGAGGAAAATTAATTATTTTTACGATGTTTTATCTTTGGAAGACTGAGAAAATAGGATTTTATATAATCGAAATATCAGTGGCGGCGTTTGTCAATAGAAATTAAAAAATATGCTTTACTAAAAAGTTGAAAGAAAAATAAAATTTCTGCGATTGAGTTTTATTTACTTACTAGTTTATATAGTTATAATTTATTTACTAGCTTTAAGGTACTGCAGATTTAGAGAAATAAGTTAATCTAGAGGGGCTCTAAAATATATCTTTTTAAAACTATCGTCACGTTTTCATTGCATTTGCACTTTAATCTATAAGCGATGCCAATTAAACTTTTAGTTCATTGTTGCCAACCATGGACATAATTTTGTCATGGGCATCCACCGTCCATAAAATGCAGGGCAGCACAGTCGACCATGCAGTAGTGTATTTGGGCTCAAAATTGTTTGAGGAAGGGCAAGCATACGTGGCTCTAAGTCGAGTCAAGTCTCTGGAAGGGCTATGTATTGAGGAATTAGATTGTAATAAATTATCAGGTAAAAAACCATGTAATAATGATGCCCTAAATGAATTAAATAGAATGAGGAATATTCGGTAGGCATTTCCGTTAAATACTAAAAACTAGAAAAAAAATCGGTAAAAAAATTTTAAGTTAAACGGTTTTATCTTATGTGCACTGAAAACTAGAAAATAATAATAATAATTAGGTATTTTGAACTTCTAGTTCAGAAATATTTTAGTACTAGGCAGAATAGCTTTTAGGCATATTAGACTAAAATAAAAACGTGGGGCCCATTAACTATTGCTGTAATACTTTCTTCTATACTAAGTGTGGATTGCATCGACTTACTATAATCGTAACTGGAGATTTTGACAATCAATAACCAGCCGTGGCGGCTTCACCAGCGAACGCCGAGCTCATGATCTACCAAGGTATATAAAGATATGCTTTGCCATAGGTAGGATTTCAGAGGGGCCCCACGTTTTTATTTTAGTCTAATATGCCTAAAAGCTATTCTGCCTAGTACTAAAATATTTCTGAACTAGAAGTTCAAAATACCTAATTGTTATTATTATTTTCTAGTTTTCAGTGCACATAAGATAAAACCGTTTAACTTAAAAGTTTTTTTACCGATTTTTTATTTATTAATATCTCATTTTTGTGGTTTGGCTTTATTCATATTTTTTACCCAACCTTGTTTTATTTATTTAGATTTTATTTTGAAGTATATATTTTCTGATTTTGCTCTAGTGACTTTTGACATTTACATCTGTATTTATCGAATACATTTTACAATTATCGTAAAGCCCACTTTTCCTAGAATATCCGACCAAACCTGTACCTACCTAGTTGTGAGTTTTTATTCGTTAGCAAGTCAATTTGTTTTGCGGTCTCTTACGTTCAACCGTTACTACTAAATACAGAGAAAAAAAGCACTTAATAAGATGACAATCTAAATAAAACACATACAATTATCAGCTATAGAACTCAAGGACGCTCGCTAATAATTATTACGAAATCATTTTGTGTTTCCAAAAACTCGTTGCTTGGCAAGACCGCTTGTGGTATAGTAGATTTGTTTCTTCAAGTCGATACGATAGGGATGATGGTATTTCACGATATATCGATATAACATTTTGACAGACTCCTAAAGTAAAGTATAGTTCATATCAAATAAATTTTTAGTCACATAATTAAGCTTGACCGGCACAGCGTTGCTCACTTTTACATATTTTTTTTTAATCAAAATATTTTGGGAAACAAAAATAAATTAATTATAAATATATAAACAGTTATTATTTACATAAACAAAACTCATATTCTCAACAGCACTTAAGGGACATAAAGGGCCATTACTACCGCTTTACCGGTCAAAATATTCTAATAAAGTTGCGATGGATTTTTTGCGGCTATTAAGCTATCTTGTACACTTCGGACTAAAAGAGCTAGTAAAATTTTTTAAGCTTAAGTATCACAACACAATTCATTTAAACCAAAAACTCGTAATACAAAACTAAGGCACGGCGCCGAATATGTTGATGATTGGCAACATTGAATTTAAAAATCGCGCCCTCGAATCGTAACTAAAATTTAATTGGTATCAAGAATATTGTAACGTCTCCTTTTTGCTGTCAAGGGTAATCTGGACGGGTCCTACTTTTTACTATCGATATTTTGATATATCGATACATGTTCATCATTCCTATTATGCGAAATCAAAAAAAGTAACACGTCATTTTTAGCGTATTTAAGTTAGATTCTCGTAGATTTTGTCATTACAAGATAAGAGTATAATTTGTACTAACTAACTAACAAAATATTAGCATACACTCAACAACATTTATAACATCATAATCACACACAAATACATTTTTATTTGTTTAATTTGTTTTCAACTCCGTTCTGATTTATTTTCTGGAGATTATTTGTTGCTATTTTTTTAGTGTTGTCAGTTTTTTTCATTTTAGCAATTTCTACCTTACTAGGATTGAAGTTATATACCGATCTGATCATCGAAACTCCGTGGTCTGTATTTTAGTGCATGCGACAGAGATAAATACAAACGACCGGTTGACAGACAGAGAGGCAAAATAAAAAGCGACGTACAGTGTTGCCGGGTTTTACGTGACCGGTTCGAAACTCAAGCAGAATCCGACCTATGTTGATATAAAAAATAAAACTTATTTTTACGTGAGGAATCTCCCCACGAGACATGGCACATGTTTTTTGAAACACCCTGTATAAGAGCGAAAAACAAAACTTTATTTTTGAAATTTAGACTTGCTTTAAATTGATCAATTTTACTTTAAGGCATAAGTTTATTTATTTAATCAACAACTTCGGTCTAATTTTGTTTGACCAAAAGCAAAAACAGTCTTAAAATAAATCCCCGCGATCTTCTTTGAAGTGTTTTCCGTTCCCAGCTCGGAAAAATGTACCTAATGTATATTTATCTCGATGTTTTCACGGTTATGTGCATATATAATAAATGTAAACAGGCCCCCGAATAACATTATTCTATTTTTCCATAGGCAGAAGCTGACGTCACCCAAATGGAACCGTTTCCGAGGCATAAGACTGAGATGGAAGGACAAAATCCGATTGAACAATGTGATATGGCGGTGTTGGCATTTACAATGTAAGTTCAACGATTGAAGACCCCTAAAAGCAATAAAATGTTTTATAGAGGGTGTCCTAGAAATAAGTGCAAGTATTCTGTGGGGTGGTAGATCTGGCCAAAAGAAACATATTTTTTCTTTACTATTTTAAAATAAATTGATAATAACCGAGTTTTAACTTTGAAAATTTTAAAAAATAATTTCAAGATTTTGAGAGCCGCCCGCAGCAATCGATAATCAGCCACAAATACCAAGCAATTACCAGAATCTCAGCTTGTTCGACGCCCAGTGCTGACACATCGACTAAAATGATTTAAAAACGGCTTGAAAATATCTGATTAAAAGTAAAAACCTTACCTAACACTAGAAAACCGGACTCCGGTTGTTAATTTACAGAATGTGCATAACGTAGGAAGTGACAACATTGCATTCTTTTGAAGCACTATAAATAAATTTCCGAAAACTGAACAAGTGGCACTCAAAAGTTTTTTAATATTTTTGGAAAATGTCGAGAAAAATATAAAATTTTCAAAAACTTTTTTCGCAAAAAAAAATCATGGACATGTTACTGGAGTCGATATATACTACCATTTAAATTACTGGAACTTATTTCTGGGACACACTGTATATTAATTACTTTGGTTTATAAGCATACCGAGGAGTGGTTTTTTTCACTTTTTTTCTTCTCCTGTTCGCTTAAATCTTGGAAAATATAACTCCTACAGAAAAATACCTTATGCAAAAATTTGAAGCTCAGAAAATTCTCTAATATCTGATAATTGTTATTATTTACTTATCTTAGAATATCTTAAAAATATCCATTTTAGACAAGTCATTTTTATTCAGAGAGATAAAGTGATTTTAATTTACTGTTTGTAAAAATGCATGTGTAAATGAGACTTTGAAACTTGAAACGCCTAGTTAGTATATTAGAAAAATTATATTATTTTTTTACTTTTTTATTTCAATCACCGATTTTGTTTGAAAAAACGCCAATATTAGATGTAGTACTAGATAAGAGATACATGTGTTTGCGATCCATTTTAAAATATGCCAAACAAGACGCTTATCTTAGTAGTTATTTAATAATTACGTAATGAAATAATACATTAACCTTTTTTAACTAAACCATATCAGTTTTTAGAATTATTTATTTTTTCCAAACTTGTTTTATAATAATTGGTTGTTGTCAGTAATTTTTTAATACTTTTTATTCTAAAAATATAGTTATTTCTATTAAAATATGAAGTACATTTATTAAAAAATAGTAATTTTTTTCCTTCAATCAAAAAATCTTTTCTTTTTTTTCTCTTTTTTCAGTTCATGTTTTTTTGATGAAATATCAAATTAATTGGTGGTTTTGTTAAATATTATACAAAATAATAATCGCGATGGTAAACAGAATATTTTTTAGTGATAACCTTTTAATCTTGCTATTTTGCCTTTGTTTTAATAACCTAGCATTTCTCAAATAATACGAAGTATATAATTATAATAATTATTGCAAAGTGTTGTTTATATATTTGTCGATTAAATATTTCTAAAAGTAATTATTAGCAAGCAATGAATAAATTTGTATTTTAGAAGAAAAATTGTTTGGAAAAACAGTCAATAAAAATCAATAAAGGCTTATTTTAGCCTAGCATTTTGTTGTCTATAATCAGCCTTATGTAGCTCATCATGATTTTAGCTTATTCAACAATTTCCAATTATGGTGTAGCCGCTATCACATACTTAGATACTCTCTTTGTAGTTGAGCCTATTGTTGTCTATGGTTGGCTATGCTGACCCAAGTTATCCCTGCTAATTTTGATATCATTGTCAAGTTTTTCTTTTTTAAATTTAAATAATTTGAATTTTTGCAGTTATCAAAAAGGAAAACACCCTCATTTGTCAATTTGCATCCCCCTTGGATGTCGACACCCATAACAAGCCTGAGGTGAGACATAGTTATAGTAAAATAACGAAATTTCTTTAGTTTTTATGAATTGTGGCATTTTCTCTAGGCGATAGTTTTGGAAGGAAAATATTGGAAAAGGAAACTAGCTGCCGTCACAGCGGAATACAAAAAATGGCGGATGTTCTACAGAAACAATATCCTTGGACACACTCCAAAGGAAAGCATGGATATGGTGAGTGTATTTAGAAAATAGTTTTTTCACACCCTGTATATTTTTAAAATTTTAAAATAAACGGGGTACACTGATACAAAGTATTTTCAGTCACGTGTATACTTTCTTTTCCATGTGGAATAACACAGGACGTTGGCTAAACTGAAACCGGAACTCAATAACTCAGTTATTGTTAAATAGAAAAAAATCTATTTATTTTGATATTTACCATTCTTTAAAAAACATATTCTTATTTAAGAGACACTCTGTATGTGAATAAATAATTTGATTTTTGAAAATCTCTCAAATTTGAATAAAGCTTCATTCAGAACCTCGAAATTAGTGGTTTCAATTAGCGTAGAAGTTTGTTCTAATTTCACTGTAAGCATTCAAAACGTTAAAATTAGTGGTAGGAATTTTCAATTAGTAGAAAAAGGTTGTAGGATATTCTATTTATTTTAATTGTATTTTTTAGACATTGTGAATGATCGTAAACTCTTAAGTATAAAGTATAATTGAAACCACTAATTTACTTCACTAATTTCAAGTCTGAAAGAGGCTTAAGTGTCGAGCCTTTCAAGTCGACTTTCAATAAGCATTGAAAGGTAGTTGAGTTTCTTTGACAGCCGAACAATGTGGACGCGTTGTTGTTAGGTTAGGTTACCATTCTTTAAAAAACATATCCTTATTTAAGAGACACTCTGTATGTGAATAAATAATTTGATTTTTGAAAATCTCTCTCAAATTTGAATAAAGCTCATTCAGGACCTCGAAATTAGTGGTTTCAATTAGCGTAGAAGTTTGTTCCTCTAATTTCAATGTAAGCATTCAAAACGTCAAAATTAGTGGTAGTAATTTTCAATTAGTAGAAAAAGGTTGTAGGATATTCTATTTATTTTAATTGTATTTTTTAGACATTGTGAATGATCGTAAACACTTAAGTATAAAGTATAATTGAAACCACTAATTTACTTCACTAATTTCAAGTCTGAAAGAGGCTTAAGTGTCGAGCCTTTCAAGTCGACTTTCAATAAGCATTGAAAGGTAGTTGAGTTTCTTTGACAGCCGAACAATGTGGACGCGTTGTTGTTAGGTTAGGTTACCATTCTTTAAAAAACATATCCTTATTTAAGAGACACTCTGTATGTGAATAAATAATTTGATTTTTGAAAATCTCTCAAATTTGAATAAAGCTTCATTCAGGACCTCGAAATTAGTGGTTTCAATTAGCGTAGAAGTTTGTTCCTCTAATTTCAATGTAAGCATTCAAAACGTCAAAATTAGTGGTAGTAATTTTCAATTAGTAGAAAAAGGTTGTAGGATATTCTATTTATTTTAATTGTATTTTTTAGACATTGTGAATGATCGTAAACACTTAAGTATAAAGTATAATTGAAACCACTAATTTCACTAATTTCAAGTCTGAAAGAGGCTTAAGTGTCGAGCCTTTCAAGTCGACTTTCAATAAGCATTGAAAGGTAGTTGAGTTTCTTTGACAGCCGAACAATGTGGACGCGTTGTTGTTAGGTTAGGTTACCATTCTTTAAAAAACATATCCTTATTTAAGAGACACTCTGTATGTGAATAAATAATTTGATTTTTGAAAATCTCTCAAATTTGAATAAAGCTTCATTCAGGACCTCGAAATTAGTGGTTTCAATTAGCGTAGAAGTTTGTTCCTCTAATTTCAATGTAAGCATTCAAAACGTCAAAATTAGTGGTAGTAATTTTCAATTAGTAGAAAAAGGTTGTAGGATATTCTATTTATTTTAATTGTATTTTTTAGACATTGTGAATGATCGTAAACTCTTAATTATAAAGTATAATTGAAACCACTAATTTACTTCACTAATTTCAAGTCTGAAAGAGGCTTAAGTGTCGAGTCTTTTAAGTCGACTTTCAATAAGCATTGAAAGGTAGTTGAGTTTCTTTGACAGCCGAACAATGTGGACGCGTTGTTGTTAGGTTAGGTTACCATTCTTTAAAAAACATATCCTTATCTAAGAGACACTCTGTATGTGAATAAATAATTTGATTTTTTTGAAAATCTCTAAATTTGAATAAAGCTTCATTCAGAACCTCGAACTTAGTGGTTTCAATTAGCGTAGAAGTTTGTTCCTCTAATTTCAATGTAAGCATTCAAAACGTCAAAATTAGTGGTAGTAATTTTCAATTAGTAGAAAAAGGTTGTAGGATATTCTATTTATTTTAATTGTATTTTTTAGACATTGTGAATGATCGTAAACTCTTAAGTATAAAGTATAATCGAAACCACTAATTTACTTCACTAATTTCAAGTCTGAAAGAGGCTTAAGTGTCGAGCCATTTAAGTCGACTTTCAATAAGCATTGAAAGGTAGTTGAGTTTCTTTGACAGCCGAACAATGTGGACGCGTTGTTGTTAGGTTAGGTTACCGTTCTTTAAAAAACATATCCTTATTTAAGAGACACTCTGTATGTGAATAAATAATTTGATTTTTGAAAATCTCTCAAATTTGAATAAAGCTTCATTCAGGACCTCGAACTTAGTGGTTTCAATTAGCGTAGAAGTTTGTTCCTCTAATTTCAATGTAAGCATTCAAAACGTCAAAATTAGTGGTAGTAATTTTCAATTAGTAGAAAAAGGTTGTAGGATATTCTATTTATTTTAATTGTATTTTTTAGACATTGTGAATGATCGTAAACTCTTAAGTATAAAGTATAATCGAAACCACTAATTTACTTCACTAATTTCAAGTCTGAAAGAGGCTTAAGTGTCGAGCCATTTAAGTCGACTTTCAATAAGCATTGAAAGGTAGTTGAGTTTCTTTGACAGCCGAACAATGTGGACGCGTTGTTGTTAGGTTAGGTTACCGTTCTTTTTAAAAACATATCCTTATTTAAGAGACACTCTGTATGTGAATAAATAATTTGATTTTTTGAAAATCTCTCAAATTTGAATAAAGCTTCATTCAGAACCTCGAACTTAGTGGTTTCAATTAGCGTAGAAGTTTGTTCCTCTACTCTTTCAATGTAAGCATTCAAAACGTCAAAATTAGTGGTAGTAATTTTCAATTAGTAGAAAAAGGTTGTAGATATTCTATTTATTTTAATTGTATTTTTTAGACATTGTGAATGATCGTAAACTCTAATTATAAAGTATAATTGAAACCACTAATTTACTTCACTAATTTCAAGTCTGAAAGAGGCTTAAGTGTCGAGTCTTTTAAGTCGACTTTCAATAAGCATTGAAAGGTAGTTGAGTTTCTTTGACAGCCGAACAATGTGGACGCGTTGTTGTTAGGTTAGGTTACCATTCTTTAAAAAACATATCCTTATCTAAGAGACACTCTGTATGTGAATAAATAATTTGATTTTTGAAAATCTCTCAAATTTGAATAAAGCTTCATTCAGAACCTCGAACTTAGTGGTTTCAATTAGCGTAGAAGTTTGTTCCTCTAATTTCAATGTAAGCATTCAAAACGTCAAAATTAGTGGTAGTAATTTTCAATTAGTAGAAAAAGGTTGTAGGATATTCTATTTATTTTAATTGTATTTTTTAGACATTGTGAATGATCGTAAACTCTTAAGTATAAAGTATAATCGAAACCACTAATTTACTTCACTAATTTCAAGTCTGAAAGAGGCTTAGGGTGTCGAGCCATTTAAGTCGACTTTCAATAAGCATTGAAAGGTAGTTGAGTTTCTTTGACAGCCGAACAATGTGGACGCGTTGTTGTTAGGTTAGGTTACCGTTCTTTAAAAAACATATCCTTATTTAAGAGACACTCTGTATGTGAATAAATAATTTGATTTTTGAAAATCTCTCAAATTTGAATAAAGCTTCATTCAGGACCTCGAACTTAGTGGTTTCAATTAGCGTAGAAGTTTGTTCCTCTAATTTCAATGTAAGCATTCAAAACGTCAAAATTAGTGGTAGTAATTTTCAATTAGTACAAAAAGGTTGTAGGATATTCTATTTATTATAATTGTATTTTTTAGACATTATGAATGATCTAAACTCTTTAAGTATAAAGTATAATTGAAACCACTAATTTACTTCGCTAATTTCAAGTATGAAAAAGGCTTAAGTGTCGAGTCTTTTAATCAACGTCTAGTCTTTGAAGTCGACTTTCAATAAGCATTGAAGGGTAGTTGAGTGACTGAGTTTCTTTGACAGCTAAACGATGTGGACGCGCTGTTGTTCGACTCGAACAGCACGGACAACATGAACATGATGGTGGACGAGGACTACATGGGCCTGATGAGCGACACCTTGTTCTCCACCATAACCAATCAGCCGTTCGTGTTCCCCGACACCAGGGAAATCGGTAAACTTGTTACTTAGCTAGTAGGCGAGCGCCATATCGTTATCTTTACGTTACACTCAATGTTTTGCAGCCAGAGCCGGCCTGGCCGACTTCATTCAGCCTAGTCTCGGGCCCTTGCAGCCGAATCTAGACGATTACATGGACACCTTCGACCCTTTGCAAGGTACACTACAAAATAATGATAAGAAATATAAACTACAATAACTTAACATGTATTTTCAGAATTTATTAATAATAAGCTACCTACTGTACCTGAAGAACACTCCCACTGGGACTATCCTGAAACTATTACCACAGCTGAACTAACTGTCCAGGTAATAAAACCATTTTTTTTTGTTTTAAAGCAACTCCGTCACACTTTTTTTAAGGTATCCCACACACCAGACAGTTCAGCTGTTCAACAGTACCAACCGCAGATCCAAGACCTCAATCAGCAGCTAAATATGCAAAAGTCCGATATTCTGATACAACAGGATAGCCAACATAACCTCATGTCGTCTGCTTCTTTCAGTGACTTGATCGCGCAGACGCGGGAAGTGTATCTGCAGCAGCAAAACTTTTCTTCTGTTATCTCGAAAACCAGCGCCAAGTCGAACCAAAGGGCTAAACTGAGTCATAGTCATAGTATACCTCCTGTTTCTTATAACAAACCCATCGAAAGTACGCAGGTTCATCAAGGTTACAGTACGCAAGGGAGCAGAACCGAACACGTCATCATCAATGACAGAATTCAAGGTATAGTTCTTCTCACAAAACATTTTTTGTATTTATTACAAATAAGTTGGTATAATTTTTAAATATTTGGTTTTCAATTTTTTGATAAGTTATGAGATACCCGAGAAGAGTCGAAAAACGCAACAATTTTAAATTCCTCTTGCATTTCGGGAACTGAGATTGCAAGGACAAATCTAAAAAAGTAGTACATTAAGAGTCTATTACGCTGTACTGTTCGGGTCGCTCTCAAGGGTCGGGTAAAGCGGGTGTGTGGTCGAAGGAAATATATATTATATTTCGTTTTTAGCGTTTTGTCAATGTCAATTAGTAACGTAACAAGCTCGTGAATTCCCGGCCCGTCCAACAATCAATCCTGTGAGAAAGAGATAGGCGAGATCGGCGCCGTTAGCGTTGAAGAGACGAAGATAAAAGATGCTGGGATTGAATTGTGGACGGGCCGGGGCTTATATTCGGAGACAAACACAATCTACTACTAGTGCCAGTGGTGTGTGTAAAAATAATAATTATTATTTGCCATTTATTTTACGAATTTTAGTTTATATGTGTATAGTTTTTTTTATGTTATAGTGTTGTGGTTAGTACTTGTTATAATATAATAAATAATTATAATTATATAATAGAATCTCTAGTTGCTAATGCAATTTTAGGACATGATTTATGAAACATTTTGGAGTGAAACTTCTTTACGCGCGCTGGGAGTAAAAATTCAAAGCCGTGACATACGAGCTAGTGAGACGGCCCTGACACACGAGCTCGTTGTAACGAAACGTGTTAAAGGCTTAGAAATACGTAGTGACGCGACGTGTATTTGTGAGCAGTCCACGTGTTTATCAAAAATATTGATATTTTAATACAAATTTTGTAAAGGTGAATCAAATTATTACGTGTAAAAAAACATTTGTTACACGTAAAAAACTATTTTTATTATTTTACGCGAATAAAATTGTTACACGTAAAAAACTATATTTTACGCGTATAAAACTATTTGTTACTGGTAGAAAACTATTTTTTACGCGTATAAAACTATTTGTTACTGGTAGAAAACTATTTGTTACGTTTTTTTACGCGTTTGGTTACCAAACCAAACCAAAAACTTATTGTTTCTGGTAGAAAACCTTTCTTACACAAAAAAAAATATTTTTTACGTGTTAAAAACTATTTGTTACACGTAAAAAACTAATTTTTACGCGTCAAAAATTTATTGTTTCCGGTAAAAAAACTTTTTTACCCCAAAAAAATATTTTACGTGTAAAAAACTATTTTTTACACAAAAAAAATTGTTTTTTTACGCGTCACAAACTTATTGGTTCTGGTAAAAAAAATTTTATTACGCAAAAAAAAATTTTTTTTACGTGTAAAAAACTGTTTATTACACGCAAAAAACTATTTTTTACGCGTAAGGAAATACTCCTTTAATTTATTACTTTTTCAACATTTCAAACATTTCCTTCAAATTTTTGAATTTAATAGAATCTTCCTAAACAGTAGATTTATTTCCTAAACTAGTAGTATTATTTTATTTCTTTATAAAAATATTTTTAGATAATACCCTAAAATGAAAAAAAATGCATACTATTTAATTTATTTTTATTGTAATATTAAATATAACATCCGCCTATGACGGGGTCTCATCTTAGAAAACGCTAAAGACGCTACAGAAAACAAACTGATTTGTTTTCATTTGCGTTTTTTGCGAGACACGCCAAACGCTACACGCTTTTGGTGTGGCCACTTCTATATAATCCTGTTATTTTGTTTTAGTCGCTAAAGACGCTTCACGCTAAAAACGCAAAAAACGCTTTCTGTGTGGCCGTGGGCTAAGGCTTAGCCCGATCCTGTCTTGTTAAGCCACACCCAAAATTCCAAACACACGTGTTTTGATTAAGGCTTGATTACGGTTTGTTGAGCTTCAGCATTTGCCATAAAATAGCGAGCAATTTATTACAAAACCATATAAATTATATATCACTGTAATCACAAAACTTCAATTTATTTCCGTATTGTAACGGAATTTTGAATTATATCTTTATTTTCGAGAAAATTTAGTCTAAACATAAGGAATATTTTGTTAAAGTTTGACCTTCTAAAACTTAAAAATAAAGAAGTTGTCTAAAAATGTGCTACAATACGAATATAGTATAATCCTTTATCTTTAATTTCCTTCTTCATTCGTGTAAAAATACCTAGCCAGTTTAACATAAAACGTTAAATGCCGAACGCTTATTTTGCTACTTTTTCGGACTCTTAATGTGAAAATCGTATCTTTGTATCTCTACTCAAACGAAAAACCTATAAAAAAACACGAAAATGGAACATCCTGGAGAGACTATAATACGTCGAACTTACTTATTTTTCAGTGCCACTATCGAAGAACTGTACGCCAGTACAGCAACACAGTCAAGACTTACAGCAGCAGCATCAGCACGAACAGTTTAGGCAACCGCAACAACCATCGAACCAGGGTTACAAGTTCGCGACCCCGGTAAGGCCCACCCTCAAGTTCACATCACAGAGCGTGCCTCAGGTACAGACGCAGACGCATTTGATGCAACAACCCTCTATGCACCCCCCTCAACCTTCCCCCTATCACCCTAGTTTTAGCCCAGTAGTAAGTTTTTCTTCTATTTTCTTTTCTTGTTTTGTAGTTGTAGTTTGTATATTTTACTCTTGACTAAATAATTATTCTGTAAATTAGTATTTTATGATGTTTATGTTTATTAATACATTGGGATGGTAGATTATTACTTTCTTGGCTATTTTTTGTACGGCGATGAACGAATATATGATTTTCACAGAGGACATTGAAAAGATTACAGAGAAAAATCAATTTATTTTTAAATTAAAATTACACATTAATGGCTGTCACTTATACAGTTCGTACCAAATAAACTTTTAGTCACGTGATTAAACTTGGCCGGCACAGCGTTGCCAACTTTTATATATTTTCTTTTAATCAAAATATTTTAGGAAACAAAAATAAATTAATTATCTCACATTTATGTCAGCATGAGAAAAAACAATATGGCGATATTATTATATAACTTGGTAATATTTGAGGGGTAGTTTCACCTCGTTGGAATTTGACTTTCGAAAAATCCGTTTGCCAAAAATAAGCTTTTTACGTCAAGCAGTTTAAGCAGAATCGTGGTTAAGAAACTACCCAACTTTTTGGAACACCCTGTATGATTTTTTAAAAAAATTCAAAATATGTAAAAAAAACAAATAAATTATGCTTGTCCAAGCGTTTTCCCGAAAGACTAACTGTTTTTTAAATAACAAATATTAATTTGAGGGGCGTTTTCGCCCTCTTTGAATTTGAGATTCGAGAAACCCCTCCTTATTGAACCTGTACACCCCACAGTCAATCCGTTTGCCAAAAATCAGCTTTAAACGTCAAGCAGTTTAAGCAGAATCGTGATTACTCAATGGTCATATTTTATGAAACACCCTGTATAAATTTATAAACAATTTTAAAATATGTAAAACAATAAAATAAAATATACGTGTTTAAGAGTTTTTCCGAAAAACTCACCGGTTTTTAGATAAAAAATATTTTAATATATGAGGTATAGTTTCACCCCCTTAGAATTCGAGTTTCGAAAAATCCCTTCTTATCGAACCTCTACACCCTAAAGTCAATCTGTTTTCCAAAAATCAGCTTTTTACGTCAAGCGCTTTAAGCAGGATCGTGATTAATCAATGACCAGATTTTTCGAGACACCCTGTATACATTTTTTAAAAAATCTTAAAATATGTAAAAAAACAAAATAAAATATACGTGTTTAAGCGTTTTTTCAGAAACTTGACCGTTTTTTAAATAAAAAATATTGTAATATTTGAGGGGTGGTTTCACCCTCTTGGAACTGGAATTTCGAAAAATCCCTTCTTATCGAACCTCTACCAGAGTACGTAGATCGCCGAGTAGCGACAGAAACCGTCGGCTCTTTTGATGTAGTGGGACCAAATTTTCTTTCTCTCTCTTTTGACGTGTTTGACAGATAGACTACGTATTTAACTGTTCAATTTATGAAGTGGTCCTATAAACATGGTATACACTGCTCACAATTTGAAGTGGAATTAATTATAAAGTTTTATACATATCTTTTTTGTTTTGTTTTATCCTTATTTCTAAATTTGAATGTATAAAATATCTTACTGCTAATAAATAATTAAAAAAACGATTCGTTGCCTGAGGTGTATTTGAAATAAAGTATATAGAGATATTTGATAAATGGCAACAGTGGCAACTTCGCTTCTTCGTATGACAGATAACCTACTTATTTCGCGCAGCCGCAAAGAAATTTGAAAACGGGACTGTCGCTACTCGTCGGTTTAGGCAGAGTACCTAAACGCTATAAACACTTTTCGGAATTTCTTATATGAGAGCGGTTTAGATTTTGAAAGATTATTATGATTTTTGAAGATTCTGACTTTGACAAGAGAAAATTATTTCTGTTTTTGTTTGCCGTTGTTCTTAGCGACCGCTATAGCAGCGCCAGATCGCGTATAACGGTCGCGACCCAAAATAATTTCGCGACCCAAAATTTTTACGGGCTTTCCAATCTAAACTTGTTGCATTTATCTATGACTAAAGTACCACAACGAATGACATTGTCAAGAAATAAATAAATAAATGTGGCAACTTGGCATTTTGTACAACAGAGCTACCACCTGAACCCCAGCGGGAAATTTAAATTCCAGTTAGTCAGCACGGCGCCAAATATGTCCATGGTTGGTAACAATGAATTTAAAAATCTCGTCCTCGATTACGTAACTAAAAGTTTAATTGGTATCAAGTATACATAAAAAAATATTTTATCTACGATTTTTAAAGATTTTATATTCAATTTGCCTTGACAAATAATCTGGAATAATACAGTTTTACTCAGTTAATTAATAAAAACGATAATTTCTTTGATTTAAGCATTTTTATCGCACGAGACAAATTTCGATATAAAATTGGATTTATTAATAAAATAACGTTAGTTAAATGCGGGAGGTCAGTTTGATAATGTAATAATATTACATTTTGCATTTGTTGCGTTATCTCAATGATTAAGGCAAACTTTATTATAAAATATTTATATAATATTTATTTCCTTCAAATAGAGTATGCATGCGTTCATAACAATAATATTATATTTTTAATATTTTAAAAAAGTTATTTTCTTTACAATTATTCAAGGATGATAAGATGGAGAGTAGAAGAAGGTCTACACCAAGAGGTAGGGGTAGATCTCGATCAAATACCAGGGAACCCATAAAGAGACCTCCCCTTATATCTGCTGTGAGTGATCCAGCGTTACTCACACCCCAAACAAACGTTCTTTTAACGCAGTTACTTACAAATAGTGAGTTTATCCGGATTTATCAATATTTTCCATCAACTTATTCAAGAAAAATAATGATTGTAGGTTCACCTCTCAGTGATGCGGTGTATAGTCAAAACCAGAGCTTGAGCACGTCTCAGGAACTGAGCCAGCATATCAGGATCAAAGAGGAGACGAGTCCGGTGCCCATATTGCCCCAACCGCCGCCTACCACGATTATTTCTTTGCCGGCCCAAATTACCGTCACTCCTGTTTCAATGTCCAGCAGTGATCCGGTAAGTTTCAGGAATGTTCTGATCAGGGTTGGATAGCGTCGGACGCGTAGAAAATTAATGTTCTACGGGTATGTAGAAAATGTAGAATATTAATAATGAATAATGAATATAATTAATTAATGAAAAGTCTGTTTTTTTTTCTTTGAAAGTTTTCGTTGTTCTTTTTTTTTTTAATTTTACCATAGAAAGCCTGAAATTTCATAAACTATATACATACCGTGCTGGCAACTGTTACTTTTGGGTCGGTATTTACATGTGTGGAAGTAAATCGCGTAGGGATCTTATTTAGTCGGAGTGAGAGAAATGCGACGGTGTGCTGTTGCGGCGTTGCCGGTACGTCTTTCCCTATCAAGTAAAGTAAAATCACGATCGCAAACCGCTTATTTTTAAAAGACTTTTTTTCGAAAAGATTACTAGATATTATAGTAAACGCCACGAATGTTTGGGAGTGATTCATCACTTGATGAAGTTAGAATCGACACATGCGCTATCATTTTTACATTAAAAACGTAAATTTTTACCGCAGACGTAGGTTTTTAAAGGCCCGGTCTAATCATCTGCCTGCGCTCCTCCTACTTATTCTAAAATGTTAGTATGATTGACAAAGACGTTACTATATCGCGTTTCTTTGATTAATTCGTTTTTGTGCGTCAGTCCATTGGTGTGCTTGCAGTGCGACCAATGGGGCATTCCAGTTTATATTTCTAACCAAATAAATGTTTTGACAAGACTTTGACAGTTAAAACAACAAATTACAACAGTTTATATATTGGTTATTATATGACTTGAAACACCACGGCACTGGAATTAAGTTTTATGTGACCTTGAACAGATTAGTTCACATGGCGACCGATGAATCACTCCCAAACATTCGTGGCGTTTACTATAGATATGTTTCTGAGCATTTGAAATGGAATTGTAAGGATATAGTTAGGGTCTCCATTTTTTTATAACAAGATAACGTCAGTAATCGCGATAATTTAAAAACTACTCTTTTTAACACAACACGCCATAACTTAAGAACCACTTTAGATATTGAAACCTTCTTTCTATTTTGAAGATTGGATCGTTTACAATATGTTTAAATAAGAAAAATTCGATACGGTTGTTTTTTTCCATTCAAAAATTTTAAACAACCCATCACAACACTTTTAGTGCATAGCAATTTTCAGCAATCGTGTAACTTTTTTATTTATAAAGATTTTCACATACTGTCTGCGAAGAAAATATAGCAGAAATATTAAGAAAGTTTTTGAAAAACTACAATCAACTATTTCTAATAGATTTCGAGATATGGATTTTTGAATTCAGTGTTCTAATAGCGCGACCACTGTCGAACACCAACTCAATTCCACTTATTTTTACCAAAAGTGCAGGTGTTTCTAACTTGCACTTAAATTTTTTCAAGCTATAGGGAAAATTACAACAGCTCGTTAATAAATAAGTACTTTATAAACGCATTGTACTCTTTTTACATACGAAAATCTCGACCCAAGACTAACCTTTGCCAGCCCTTACTATTGAAATAGTATTTCAATAGTATAAATATATAATCTTACTATTGAAAACTTTTAAGATATCTGTAAACTTCGACTATAGTGTGTAACAAATCAAGGAATATTTTGACAGACAATGACGAATGATATGACAGAAAATACGGTATGCCTGTAAATTATAATGACACAACAGTCAATGTCACGCATCCTCCCGTTTACATATCAACTTAAAATAATATGGAAGTTAATAGTTAAGCTTTTTTGAGACATACAATATACTATCCATTTCTTAAATAATAAATAACAATTAGAGATATCGTTATTAGTATATTTCTTGTACCAATCGTTGTGGTTGAAGTATTTGAAATAAATATAAACTCAAAAAAAAGCTTACAATATATGAAATTAATTTTCTACGTCTGGACATGTAAAAAATGTAGAAAATTAGTTGGTGTAGAAAATTAATTTTCTACGTGTAAAAAATGCGTTAGAAAATATAAAATTTTCTACCTACCCAACCCTGGCTCTGATTTTAAATCATCAAATATTTTGTTGTGCTTGGTCATTTATACACTTAGATGCAAAAAAACCCAACGGAACATTTTTTCATCAAATTTAAAATGTTATATTTCTTTTACTTTTAGCCCTATATTCATGAATTTTTTAGCAAACTGTATATAAATCTATCAATTTTAATTTCTAAACTCAGTTTTTTATAAACTTTAGTATTTGGCTTATTATACAGGGTTAATTGAAGGGTTGTTTTTTACCCTAACTTTAAAACACCCTTTGCACTAATTTCGTGAGTGATCTTTCCTAAAACAATATTTTTCTGTCAGAACCATGTCTCCTGAGCATTTTGTTTTTCGACTTATGTTAACAAAAGCCTTCGTTAATTTTTAAGAGCGAAATGAACTTGCCATCAACAATTTGCAATTTTTTCAATTATGACGTTATTTTTTAATATCACGAGGTGGCTTTGGTGACTGTTGTTGTAATGTCATATCGACACTGATTAGAATTGTTATATTAAAATTTAAAAAAACGTTAAAATATAACGATACAGGCTTGGTTTTAATAAATATTAGTAACACTAAAAAAAACTAAGGATATTAAAAAAAATATCTGTAATAACTAAGTGTACAAACAAACAAAAAACTTGTAAAAAATACTCTAATACTTTACATTGCCTCTCCCGGCTGCTATAACTGTCTGTAAATGTCGTTTCATAATGTTAATGAGGCTGCAAATATAGTGTGTCTAATTTTCCCATTCTTCAAGAACCAAGGGAATATTCATAATTTCGGCCATCTTCAACAAGATTCGATACTAAGAACTATATTCAATCGTACACAACAATAATCACCAAAGTCAAAAAGTATCGACAGTTGAAAAAATTGCAAAATGTTTGTGGCAAGTTCATCTTGCTCTTAAAAATTAACAAAACAAAATATTTAGGAGACTTTGTTCTGACCGACCATGTTTTATGAAAATTTGCTCACGAAATTATTGCACAGGGTGTTTCAAAGATAGGGTAAAAAACAACTCTTTGATTAACCCTGTATAATGAGTCAAATACTGAAGTTTATAATAAACGAAGTTATTACGAATTAAAGTTGATATATTTATATACAGTTTGCCAAAAAATCAAAGAAACACGGCTAAAAATAAAAAAAACATTGTAAACTTGTTTTTCTTGCATCTGAGTGTATATTATTTACCCTTTCAGCTTCTTCTCAGCACGTATAGTAATTCAAGCAGTCCCATCATGGACTCGCCGCAAAACCTCCATTCCCCTACGTCGTCCCAAGGTTCCATAGGTTCGCCTGGTAGGGACAACAACAGGGACAGGAGGGCCGGCCATATTCACGCCGAACAAAAACGACGGTGCAATATTAAAAATGGGTTTGATATGCTTCATTCGCTCATACCGCATCTCAACCAGAATCCAAACGCAAAGGTAATTCGGTCTTATTTCGTATGTGTAAAAGAAACAACGCAAATAAAGTAATCGCAAAACATTTTCCGAATCATATTGACATTGACACTAAAGTTTATAAACCTGACTAAATGAAATTTTGGCAAAAATGTTTAAATTTGCTGTATAATTTAAGATACCGAGCAGCTCTTCATTTTACTTTATAGAGCAACTGATTGTAACAGATATTTTATTTAGAATAGAGCTGCAAAAATTAGTTTAAACCGAATTTCATTATCGCTATGTTGGTCACATTGCGCCGTGTTCAGCAACGTTGTTTATTATTGACAATTATCCTAACGTCAGTCATTATTTTGTATAATATCGTGTTGTTGAATCTTTGTGAGTAATTCTCGTTTTTTGCCTATTTTCATGGTCTTTTTTTAAAAAATATACTTTTAAGTACAAACAGTTCTTTTAAGAACTAAATTTTCGAGTTTTTGTATTGCATTTCTTGAAATTGTGTTTTGAAAATATACCGAAACATTTAAACAGTCGAAGCAAAGAGCTTGTAGCTTCCCTGATAAACTATTTTGAACGAGAACGTGACAATAAAGGTCTTTTATTACCTTTGACTGCACTCAGAGAAATAAGTTTAATTAATAATTGATAAGCACATTATACCACTTTCAAAGTTATTTCTACGTTAGTTTTTACTAAATTCTGTGATTATTAGTTTGTGCATTAATAGCACCCTCTTACTTGTTATTACCACTTATGAATAACCCATAATAACGCTTAGAATAATCTTCATAATGCACTAGTTTTTGCCAATATGTAATAAGTAAAATAAGCTATAAAACAAATAAATCAATTAATTACTAAAATATTAGTTATTAAATTAAAAATAAACCGTAAAAATCTTTAAAAAATGATATAATAAATATATTGTTTGTCAATTTTAAATTAAGATTCATCTCATAATCCATCACAATCTGGCAGCGCTGTCGCCATCGCTTGTCACTCAAAGTTGATCACGTGCATTGCAAAATTGTTTTGCGATTGCCGTATATTTAGTAATCAGTGAAAATATATCACTGTTTGACGTAGAAATAGCACTTTAATCTCAGTTTTACTATTTCTAATTCTTCTGTTGTCAATTTCTTAAAGCCGCCTGTACACATAACGTTTTAGCTGTCAGTTTTGGTTTGTTCATTCAAGTTTTACCTGTGGTTTTTAGTTCAAGTAAAACGGGCCGTTTTTTCGTCTACACACAATTTTTACTTGATACCTCCTATTAACTGAACAGTGACGTTATTTGTCTACGGTGCTTAAGAATGACGATAAATACAACTGTCACTATAGTCGTGTCACAATCATCGCCCAACGATATGCGAGAAAAAATGAATGAAGCAGTAAATTGCAATGTTACGTACTGAACGTAGTTTTTCTATAGTCGCATATGGGGTATATATGGGGTATATATTGCATATTGGGTACAGTGAACATTGCACATTGTGTATAATGACTATTGCAGTTCTCTATAATGAACATTGCTCTATACTGCATTGTACATTGCAATATACAACATTAACATATTCACGAACATTGCAGTACTATGAAATGTTTACTATATGCTTCATTGTACATTACAATATACAACATTAACATATTCACGAACATTGCAGTACTATGAAATGTTTACTATATGCTTCATTGTACATTGCAATATACAACATTAACATATTCACGAACATTGCAGTACTATGCAATGTTTACTATATGCTTCATTGTACATTGCAATATACAATATTAACATATTCTCGAACATTGCAGTACTATGAAATGTTTACTATATGCTTCATTGTACATTGCAATATACAACATTAACATATTCACGAACATTGCAGTACTATGCAGTGTTTACTATATGCATCATTGTACATTGCAATATACCAAATGATAGTGAACATTGTATTATATTGCAATGTTTACTGAACCTTATATTTAAATCTACATTATTTTAGTTAAGTAAAGCGGCCATGCTACAAAAGGGCGCCGAATACATTAGGCAACTGAAATCGGAAAGAAACCAAATAAGAGAGGAGATGGATTTGTTGAGGCAACAGATCGAAACTTTGAACACGTCCATAAGGTAATATTTTTAAAGCACCATTTTTAAACATTTTTCTCAGCTATGTATTTTATAGTAATTGTCAGTCGTTGTTACCCGCCACTGGAGCGCCAGTTTCGCGAAGAAGGGACAACAAAATGCAGGAAATGTTTGACGATTACGTCAGCAATAGGACGATGGACAATTGGAAGTTTTGGATTGTATCCTTTTTGAAAAAATAATACATTTCTTTATAAGCCACTGAGTTAGATCTCTTAAGGGAACAAATATATTAGTGGTTTAATGAAACAAGAATTTATTGAAATTCTTTGAACGAATATGTCTAAAATTATTTCCTTTAACCTAGAGTTAGTTTAGTCTTATATGTAGGCCGTTATTGAATTCGTTCAATACGTTCGTTTCAACGTCCAGTGTGGACGACCTTTACAGTTCTACAATGTTGTGGGTCGAGCAACACTGTACCCTTGGTGATCTCAGACCGGGTAAGCTATATATACATATATGTTTTTAAAGAACTCAACTTGTAGTTACAGACGTGCATGATGTGTGTGTTACTTTATGTTTAGTAGAAATTTAAGAAAACTAAGTAGACTTAGAGGAGTTCTGAGATATTCCAATTGGTTGATACATCCGTCGCGTTTTGTGTATAGGCTTACTGCAATCTCCGCTGGTGCTGCCACCATCGGAGAATATCGTAAACAACTAGTATATATAAATACACGGGTTTAAATAGCGAGTATACAAAAAAATTATTATTTAATTATTCTAAAAGTGTTGAAAATTCTAAAAACAAAAATAAAAAAGTAAATATTTTGATATCTTCAGAAGGTCTAACTTGTATTATAATTTATTATTCCAGTTAAAAAAACTTTTTAGATGAGTGCAGCTACGGTAGCGAGGATAGTTTTAATCACCGGTTTTGCTAGTACGGCATAATTGGGGCTATTTCGGCTATAACGAAATTTTTTAAAGGTACATAATTATAATTTTAGCAGGGTAATTCGGTAATTCGGTCACTAGTTGATTAAAAAAAATATACCATTAATATTGCCAATTATATTTTATTCTCTCATATGTCTTTTTAATTTTTTGATTATGTAACGAGCACGTTGTTTACTCACTTGTTTCGTCGAACTGCTTGAATCAATTTTTGCTTTTGATCAAATCGGTGGGAGAAACTATGAAGCTATAAAATGTTAGTTCGGGAGAGTTTAATATCCGGGAAAAGTTGAGTTATTGAATGTTGTTGCACCCAACAACGCCCTAATTACGCTCTCCTTTACGCGTTAACATTTTTTCGGCATTTTTATTAACATTTGAAATTGTCAAAACGCAACTCGACGCGACGCGACGCCTAGTTCGATTTTTTTTTCACTTTTCTTCTACCCGAAACAGCGTTACATCACACAAACCTCGAACCTGAGTGTTTTATAGTCTCAATATCTGCACTAGCAAAAAACTAAAATACTTAAATATTATGACAAAACCACAATTTATTATTTTAATGCGATCAACATGACGGCATCGGCAGCGTGTAATATATGTTGATAATTTCTGATTTCTGCCGTTGAAGCGCTGCGGTCGGAATTAGTTATCAACTGAAATGCACCAAGCCTATAATGTTTAAATTTAGAGCAATTATTAGTTTTTTTATTGTTGCATTTAAAAAGAAACTAGTTGTTAGTTATATATTTGAGCGCCTCTATGTGTACTTCTTCCTCTAAGTTAGAATTATACTGTTTTTAAATTACTACATTTCTTTTCAGTGGTTTTAAATTCGTTAAGGTATCTGTGCACAAAAACCGAAATATTAACAGAACCAGAAAAGTTACCTGAAGAAGCTAAACAAATAGTTTTACGTAGAGATAAATGAAAAAAGAGCTATTAGGTTATAAGCGGTTAAGTTTTCTCAGCGCACGGTTTTTTGCTCATTTATTGTTTTTTTGTTATGTATATAATTTTCATCCACCGATATAGTACAATAAAGCAATGCATCTAACTTAATCCTTGCCAAAAAATGTATATGTTTAAGTTTCATTCTTTCTGTTGACTGATCAGAGATTCATATTTTTATCTTTTATTAATTTTAACGCATATCTATTGTGTAATATTCCTTGTGTAATAAAACTATTATTAATTGTTACTGAGTGCCATCCAAAAAAAAAAACGTAAAATACGAATATATTTATAATGATGGTTGAATTTTATTAAGTCGATTTTTCTAATCTCGTAATATTGTAGAATGTCTTCCACGTTTTAAGCATCCAAATAGTGGCCTAAACCTAGAGGCACACAGGAAGAGCAAAACAGTTTTAGTCAAAAACATTTTTCACTAAATGCGTTTTCATGTGATACTTCAATGAAAATAAAATGGGCTAAGGCATACTGATCAGTCTGGTGATGGAGAACTAGCCTCTGTGAAGTCCTCTCAAATATTGGCTTCTGTCAAAGCCCTGAGATTGTATGATGAGTTATATCTCGTTATAACTCAAGAAAGGGGGACATATTGATCAGTCGCGAGTGTTAAGACAAGTTTAGGCTCGTTTAGTCACAATCTGTATCTCTGCCGTACACATTTGATTGTAAATAAAACATTTTGCTTCTCTTTGAAACATAATATTTGTGTAAACAAACATACCTTTTTGTCCCGAACAAAAACGTTTTTGGCTAACACAGTTTTGCTCTTTCTGTGTGCGCTTAAGAATTCTAAAATTTCCCATTTTTGTACAAAATTCTTTTCATCTTAGTGTTAAAACTGTTTAAAACTTAATTATTTGAGATGTCCGTGAAACATGCATTATTTAAATATTTTTATAGCGTCTCGTGCCTTATATTAGAGGTAATAATGTTTTCTAAATTTGTCTAAGATACCTACCTACTTATACATGGGTATTATATATTTTAATATTTTTTTGTAGGGTACTTATTTTGTATAAATTTTGAACGAACACTTGTGTATTTTTATTTGTTTTATGAAAAATGTTCTGTTAATTTTTATTCTAAAATATTTTATGTAAAGTTATTTGAATAAAGTCTTTAAAAAAACGTTTATTTTGTTGACATTTTATTTTCAAAACAATTTTTTTATTCAGAAAAACTGTAGCGCCCTCTTTAGTATAGCTGTAGAACTAAATTCAAAATATTACTACCGGCGCCATCTATAGGTAACTTCCTGAAGCAGCGTTTTACAGAATTCATTAATATTGACGTGTGGCGTCATCTGTTTGGAATTTACTAAACTGTAATTTAATAGAATTCTATAATCACAATTTGAGGTGACATCTATTGGGAAATTAGTTTATTAACTTGCCGCGACATCTATTGAATACTTGCTAATGTAACAATTAATGATATCTGTAATTATAACAATTACAGAAAACTATATTTAAAATATAAAATATTACTACTGGCGCCATCTATAGGTAACTTCCTGAAGCAGCGTTTTACAGAATTCATTAATATTGATGTGTAGCGACATCTGTTTAGAACTTACTAAATTGTAATTTAATAGAATTCTATAATTACAATTTGAGGTGACATCTATTGGAAAACAGATTTATTAACTTGTCGCGACATCTATTGAATACTTGCAAAAGTATCAATTAATAGAAATCTGTAATTATAATAATACAGAAAACTGTATTAATATAGAGACATCTATCGGAAACTCTCTCAACTAATTAAAATATTAATCTGTGGTTGAATTTAAAAATTAACCTATAAGAAATCAGTAATTTTCAGAACATTTAAAAAATATTATTTTATTAATGGAAAAAGTATTAAATACAAATATAAAAACGGTGAGGCTTACTAATCTTGATAATATATATTTTACTTTATATTTTCGTTTTAGACTTTCAAATTATTAATTGAAAATATCGTTACAGTACCTGAAATAACAGCGGCAGCATTTAATAAAGCTAGAGAATTTAAAAAATATAATTCTTTTATAAATTTAACGGAGGAGTCTGCAAATAAACAGGCAGAAGAATCCCAAAAACGTTATGATGAGAAAAAGCCTATTTCAGAGTTGGACGGTGTTCCCGTTGCTGTTAAAGATAACTTTTGTACAAAAGAGGTTTCTTATTAATGTTGTATAGGAACAATTACGTTTCTAACTTTCTCTTAATATAGGTAGCGACAACATGTGCATCAAAGATGCTTCAAAATTTTATCCCGACATATAATGCCACTGTAGTGGAAAGATTAAAAAATGCCGGAGCAGTACTAATAGGCAAAACTAACTTAGACCAGTTTGCTATGGGTTCAGGTACTGTAGATTCTATATACGGGCCATCCAAAAATATTTGGGGCTATCAAGGTGACGATAATTTTCATATAGCTGGTGGTAGCAGTGGAGGAAGTAGCATAGCTGTTGCTAGCGGTATATGTTTCGGGTAAGAATTAAGAATTCCCAATAAAAAATAAAAAAAAAATTGTTGTATTAAGTGCTTTAGGATCTGATACAGGGGGTTCAACAAGAAATCCAGCATCATATTGTGGGGTTGTTGGTTTCAAACCTACTTACGGACTTGTGTCTAGATATGGTTTAATTCCTTTAGTAAATTCAATGGATGTACCTGGTATTTTAACACGAACAGTAGATGATTGTGTTAGTATTTTAAATGCTATTGCTGGATTCGATGATAAGGATTCAACATCACTTGAAAGACCTTTTAAAAAAATAAGGTAATTATAGTTTTACATATGCATCAATAACTTTTAACATGTAAATTTAGACTCCCTCCTGCAGACAAAATGACCATTAAAGACCTAAAAATTGGGATACCTGTTGAGTATTATAATGAACATTTAAGTGATGAGGTATATTTTGCTTGGAATGAAATAGCAAACTTATTGAGCAACAATGGTGCCATTGTTAAACAGGTTTAAAATGCAAATAAGTAAGTCCTTTACTCTGGTCTCACCAAACATTATTTTACCAGATATCCATGCCCAACACTGAGCACAGCATTGTATGTTATTCAATACTAAATCAGTGTGAAGTAGCAAGTAATATGGCGAGATATGATGGTATTCAGTATGGCTATAGAGCTGAAGAAAATTCATCGACAGAAAAACTTTATGCAACTTCAAGAAGTCAGGGATTCAATGAAGTTGTTAGAAATAGAATTCTGACTGGTAACTATTTCTTATTAACCAGGTAAATATTCTTTTTCAAAGGCAACTGTAATGCCGTTTTTATCAATTGAGAAAAAAATATGTTCTAAAATATTTTTTAAGGAATTATGAAAAATATTTTAATAAAGCTTTAAAAGTACGAAGACTCATAGCCAACGATTTCCACAAAGCCTGGGAGGAAGTTCAAATTTTATTAACACCCACTACATTAACAACAGCGCCTTTGTACAAAGATTTTGTCCAAAAAACAAATAGAGATCAGTGCGCCCTCCAGGATTATTGTACGCAACCTGCTAATATGGCTGGTAAATTACTATTTACTATATCTTGCAATACCATATAATCGGAAAAACAGCGTCAGAGTGAGCTTTGAACTGAAAAATCTATGATAGTTTCTATTGTGCTTATTTAATAAAAACTGACATAAATATTTGCAATATACCATTCAGTATTCTTTTTTGTACTTGAACGTAAAATACAAGTAAAAATGTAAAAATACTAATAAAAAGAAGAATGGCATGTCTCGTCCTGGACATACAATAATTATGATATATATTTTCTTTTGTTTTGGCCAATTTTTTTTATCTTGACAGAAAATACAAAAATATATATTAATAAAGGCCAAAGACCAAACGTGAGTAAATCAAAAAGCCTCCTGTGACGTCTTTTTTCCGATCACATGGTATTTTGGAATCTATTGTCTCAAATTTAAACATTTTAGGTGTTCCTGCCATCTCAGTTCCAATTAAACTGTCAAATAATGGATTACCAATCAGTTTGCAATTAATAGGAAGAAATCTGAGTGAACCCATGTTATTGGCTGTAGCAAAATACATTGAAAACCTTGTACAATTCCCACATTTTGTAAATAAATCATCATAGTATTTTTATAAAAGATTTTTACTAGGGATGGGAAAATAGTTGATAAATATCGACAAGTTCCGATTTTTATCAACTCGATATTCAAAAATAATTTTAAACGTCAATTCAATAAAACTATCACAATATACTAGTGTGTCAAGATTAATTACCTACAATAGTTATAAAAATTACTAATAAAAAAAGAAAGTTTAGTATAAATGTGAATTTATTTGGGAAAAATTGTGGAATTAAAATTATAATAAAAAAAGAACGTACTGACACAGCTTCCTTACTTAAAACAGAGAGAAAATAACCTACTATAAATATGTATATAAAAAAAACATGTATAACATAAAAAATGGAAAATACTGAAACCTATTAAACCTCATCTAGAGCCTATCTAAAACCTTATTGTAGTATTGAAATACACCAGACATTTCCTTTGTTGTATAGCCAGAATTGATGAAAAAAAACTTCTCGTACAAATTGACAGTTTTTTTGGGATAACATAATGTTCTCCTCCCCGTTTTACTTGAATCTCAACCAAAAATTGTGAAGCTTAAAATTTGAACAACTATATAACTGACGTTATGTAGTTTCGTTTTTGAGGTTATGTCGAAAACTGGTAGAGCAAAAGAGAGTGACATTACACGCTATTACGATTATACCATACATAGAAGTGTTATTTGTTTATAAGTAGCTGAGCCCGCCCTAAGGTATCTCGTATTTCTTCATTGCTTCTAGTTTAGCTTTTTGTTCGGGCGTGTCCTCCGCAGCTATGATCAGCGTATGCGAATATCCCATTGACAGACTCGTCACTTTTATACCCTGCATTCTAGTCACCTATAACACATATATGTCACTCTTAGTCAAAATCTACACAATCTATAAGATACCCAAAAGTGTCAGTGTCAACGACACCTTGTGACACTAATGACAGATTTTCCGTTACTTTATTTCCGGCTTGTCACTGCCAAAAACCTTCAAAAATATCCATTATTCCGGTGTAAAATGGAAATAATCTTACCTCTTTGGGAGTAGTGGAACTTTTCTGCATATCGCCTATACCCAGCTCTCCGTAAGTGGGAGAAGCACCCCAGGCTATGCAAGTCTCATCGGCAGCGATCATAATAGAGGTGTGGCTGGTAGCCACGTGGCTAATGTTCCAGCCAGCCAAGTCCTGGACTGGCTTGGGATACATGTTGGCCTAAAAAATAAATTACGTTCAAAAAATACAGTAGGGAAAAGGATAGAGAGTTTTTTTTACCTCTCCAGTGCGTTTGGTTTGTCCAAAAAGGAACAGACCGTTATATTCTGTCACGGCAAGTGTGTAGGTGGAACCGCAGTGAACAGAACGTACTCCCCGAGATTGGCTGTCGAAATATTTTATCAGTCTAGGAACCTACAACAAATATAAAAAGTCCCATTAAATCCTGATACTATGGAATTACCTAACTATACACTGTTCAATACAACTCAGGGAAGACTTTCAACAGACCATAACAGAAAAAGTTTGATGTTTCACAACTTTTTAATTTGTAATCCGATTTTTACGATTATGGTATTAGTTTGTAGATAAATTTGTGGACATTATTTTTTATTATTTGAATGACTTATATATTTCGGTTAGGTGGGCTTATACCGGGGTAAATCAAAACTTCGTTTTTTGCAATAAATTCAAAACGATTGGAATGACCTCCTTATAGTCCCGACCTCAGTCCAATCGAACGTTTGTGCGATGAACTTAAAAGAGCTGTTCGTCATCGTCCTATTCCACCACAAACTTTACAAGAGCTATGGCTAGCTCCGTTGCAAAACCAGGCGAACCAGACCGGTAAACTACGGTAAAGACGGTTCCTGAAAAACATCGGTTTGATACGGAACGGTTTGGTAAAATACTGGAAATGTCAAATGTTGACGTTTTCTAAATTTATTATAAAATTTATCTTTTATGCATTTTTAATGTACCTCTCTGCTTTTACGTTTGCTTCTTCTTTTCAATGGAGTTTAATATTGAAAAATACTTTATTAATGAACTGTTAAACTAGTTACGCAGCTCAAGTGAAGATTTGCAGGTCCAATATTAAAATAGATCAATAATAAATAAACAAATCTAGTCAATATTTATATATCTATAGCTTACAAAACATTCACGATTATTTGTCTTCTTTCTCATGTTTTCTTAAATGTTCTTGACTTTAAGAAACAATGGCTGCATGATAAGTGTAAATGGTCCTAAAAAGTCATTCTATTTAGTTAATGAAATTTATTTACCTCTACTACCTACCTCCATTGCTTTTGGATGTAAATACAAAATATTATTACAAATTTTAGAAATTAAAAGAGACAAATAAAACCAGCCTTCTCGCGCTAGTTAGTTTAGTGACAATTATGAAATTCCGTAATAAGAAAACTTTCAGAAAACCGATAAAAACAGAACATAAAACCATAACCAAGGTAAGCAACGCAATACACCCTTAACTTGTGAGTTTGGTGAGCCTACTGTGACCTAACATTCCTCTTACCATTTCATCCTTTTGTTCGGCATGTCCCAACCTGCCGAAACCACCGAAGCCCCACGAGAAAGCCCTCTTCCTGCTGTCAATGGCGACGGTGTGATTAGTGCCGCAGGCGAAATCCACTATCTCGGTCACGTCGACCGGCGAAACGTGACCGTCCTTGCTCTTCTCGATGTAGAGCACGACGCGCTTCGGACTGGTCTGGTAGTTGAAGCAGAGCTTGGTCGAGGTCTTGAAGTACTTGCCGTCGGTGTTGTGGCCCAGCTGGCCGTACTCGGGCAGGCCGAAGGTGTGCAGGCCGCCTTTCACGTCCAGGATGACGGAGAATTCGGCACCGCACCCTACCTAGAATGGAATCCAATAATAATCAAAACCACAGTTTAAAGAACTGAAAACATAAACTCCCTTCGGGTTCTGTTGTTATAAAACAGCCAGGTGACCATAAGGTAAAGACCAATTGGTACCACACACTTGGTATTTCGAGTCAAATTGTCGTTATGAACTGCATGTTACAATTTCAAATAAACTTTATGCGAAAATGTCAAAAGTTGACATACAATACGTCATTCTATTCAGAGTGTTATTTTCTATTGAATAAAGTAAAAAAAATACCGAGGGTGTCATTTAAAAATCAAAAGTTGTAGTAATTTCCGGTGAAACAGGAAGTGAAAACAATTGAATACGTCAATCGATCCTAATTTATGTCATATATTAACATAAGAAATCTCGTTTTTTATCTAAAAAAATAAAAAAGTTATAGGGGTGAGCCACTCTTGAGACGCACCCGGTATAATTACCAATAGGGAAAAGCTGTTCCATAATTTTTCATGTTTTTAAACTGGAAAAAATGGTGCACAATAATCTCACAATAATTCAAGTCATGACATAATGTATTTCCGGATTTGTATTCTTTTCTTAAAATGAATTACAAAATAAAAAGAAATAATAAAAATTAAACACAGAAAAGTATAAGTCGCGGTATAAGTATAAAGTTACTTCTTTACAGTTGTCAAAACATCCGTTAATGTAAGAAAAGTTTTGGATGATTGTATAAACAAATGACGGATAGAGAAAAATCCGCCTTTACTTGTGAATAAAAATGACAGAAACAACTGTTACTGTCAACTGTCATGTATTCTCTCGTAAGACAACCAATTTTTAAAGTTCGAAGTAACACTATATATTTTTACTTACTTTGACAATTGGTGGTCCTCTATAGTTGATCCTAGTCGGTGTCAAAATCTGCGGCTGCAAATTACCGACACCGCACTGTCCAGACTTATTATCGCCGCAAGCGTACACCGTTCCTAAACATTGATAAACCTCAATTACACACTTTTAAATAAACATTAGACGGTCCTGAAAATCGTCAACCTTTAAAACCATGCCGCGCAACCATAACCAATAAAAAATCATTCATTACCGGTATCTGTTAGGAACAGTGTGTGGTGGCGCCCGCAGGCGGCGCTGATGACGTTCATTTTCTCTAGACCAGGTACAAGCAGCGGCTTCGAAGTGCTGGTGGTGTTGTCCAGACCCAGCTGGCCGTTCGGGTTCCTTCCGAAGGTGTAGGCTTTGCCATCGCTGTCGACCAGAACGCTATGGGCTGCGGAACAGCCGCTAACAGCTAAACGGACCTAATATAATGAACAACGCTTCTTTGAATGGGATAGACAATGATTCAGTATTGCTATTAAACAGTGGCGTGCAGTCAGGGTACAAAAAAATCAAAGAAATCCTTTTTTTTTATTTTAATCAGATTTTTTTCATTTTAATCAATTTTCTATTTAAAGTCCTACCCTAAATGGCTAAATCTTTGTAACTCTGCCCGATATTGACAATATTAACATTTCTACGGCGGGTGTCGTTTTTCCACATCGGTCACCGATATTTTATTCTGCAAACTTTGCCTATGCCCCTATTTCCGCCAAAAAATCGGCCGCTTAGATCAAAGGGATTTTTTTTGGAAATATGATGTTGATATGAAGATAATGACTGTCTTAAGTCGAGAATAAAATTAGTACCATCTAATGTTCAAAGTGCAAAGTACTTATTGCAGGACAAAATGTCAGTAGAAAATTGGAATGAACTAGAAGATAAATTGGGGAAGGCAGAAGTTAACTTAACACATCATAATTATTAAAAAAAAACGTTAATGAACATAATTTAATTATTTTAATACTTCTTAAACAATGAAACAAGTCTTTTTTACCTTCCAGTCGCCAAATCGATGAGGCACCCACAGATTAGGAACCACTTTCACACCCTTGAATTCCTTTTTGCCCACCTGATCCCAGTTCAAACCACCCATGAATACCAACTGACCAACAGGTTTAACCAAAGTGTTTAACAGTTCTTGAGGTAGAGGGCTTAGGTCGTCCAAGACATCTCCATGTCCTGTTCATAATAAAACACAGATAGTACAAAATCGTGAATATTTTAGCTATTTCAATAAATAAATATTGTTTTTAGAAAAGATTAAATTTTGAAAATTACAAAAAGCTATCATTTGAACATTTTGGCGTAAGTTTATTTTTTTTTAAATCTGTCAATATATTATGTTTGTGGTTTTACAAAAACTGAAAATAGAAATTAATAAAATCATGAAAATTCCTAAGAAGAATTATTTTATTACACTAATGGTGCTAAAATGTACCAACATAGCATCAACATTATTAAAAAGTTAAGAAAAAACTTTTAGAAAGACTATAAATCTTAGGAAAACGTAGATAAAAATTTTATCTGTAGAATCAGTGAAAAACTGATGGTAAAAATTGTTATAATTTGTTCTCCACAGTAAACAATTTTATTTTTCTGTAATTACAATTTAAAGTAACTGAGTGTATTGTAATCAAATACTTTGATACTTAGCAGATTTTATGTCATGTTATTATATGATTAATCAGCATGTAAGTACACACAGGAAAATAAGTTTAAAAAATGAGATAAAACAATTTATCAGTTCTATCTTTGGTTATACCCTATGATCGAAAAAAAACGGCGTCCAGTTGGCTGGGAAATGAACATCAATGACATTTCCCATATAAATTTACATTTAAAATGACAGCGATCTTCATTCCATAGCCATCGCTGACGCCGTTTTTTCTCGATCATACGGTATTATAATCAAGGAGTTTTTTTAATATCGATTTCCTTTAAATCTTCATATAACTTATACTATATTGTTTATAGGGGTAATATTTATTATAAACCAGCAAAGCTCCCTCAAATACATTAACTTTTGCAAATCTCTTTATAAAAGAGCAAAAATACTATTTGTAATGACAAAAACCGTCAAAATTTTGTATTATTTGTATCTTTATAGACCTCATTTAATGCAGATAGCGAATCAAAATGAATTTACCAATAATTAGAATATTATAAGCCCTTGCTAAGTCTTATATGAATGAACAGTAGAATAGCTGTTTGTTATGACGAAAACTTATGAATATTCTACATTGTTTGTAATGTTATAGGTCTTATCTAATACAGGGTGAGATTATAAGTCAATTTACCGGCAATTAAGACTTCGTCTGGCTGAGTAACGTCTCCATCAGATCCATCACTCAGATCAGAATCCTCTGAGTCTTCCTTCCTCCTCGCTTTCTTGTTAGCCGGTTTTTTCGTAGGCGCCTTCTTCCTTTTACTCGACATATCGCTGACTTTCTCCTTTGTCTACTAGCTTGACTATGCGGCAATTCTACAACGAAATTAATCCGTTCTACAATCTAACCTTTGCCTTCTACAACAAAATTATGTACTCACCGTTGGCCCGGGTTGTTTTTAAACATTCACGTTCGCCGGTAAGCACTGGGAGAAAAACAAAATGGCTAAAAATTATCCTCTTGTGGACGAGTCAGCGTACCTGCCCTTGCGTCCCCAAGCCGATTTATTATATTCTCCCACTTCTCTCTTTTTTATTAACGGTATTTTTCCTTTTAGAAAATGTATTACTTATTACCAACATAAATGTTATTAATTTGAAATTCCCGTACCATCTTTCTAATGCTTTTACATTGCGGACGTACGTCGACGCTTTTATCGCAAAGAGTTTTCCGGCTTTTAATGTTTTATGAGTTGCCGCTATTTCTAATCTTTATTTTTAAATTATTTTAATAAAATTTAGAATTATATGATAAATACCATTTGAAAATATTCTTGTTAATGTTGTCAACATAAACCGTATAAATAATCATTACTGTCTTTATGTAGCTTTTAAAAATAATAAAATACAATTGACATTTCATTATTTGTAATCAAAAACAGCTGATTATCTGACACAAGTCTGACACCTGACACTTGACGTTCATTCATTAAAATCTTATAAAATTACCATAACAAGTTGGGATGGAGTTTGGAACTTTAAATAATTAAAATAAAATTATAGTTATATGTTGTAAAGTTCACCGATCATAGTTTAGTTTTCCTGGCCAAAGTGATCTAGATATCAACCATGACCAAAGACGATAATAAGCTGTTTTTCCATAAAACAGTAATGCATTTAGCTAGGTCTCTGGCTAATATACAAAACACCCCATGGGAGAAGGTATTGGATTAAAGAAATGATTATTCCAGTATTTAACAGGTTTATTTTTAAGATACAAACATTATATAGTATGGGGCCGATAGAATCTCAACATAATTCAATATCAATAAATTGTCGACAACAGGATGCTGTTATTGCCTTGGGGGTTTATTTGTTGGAATCAAAGCTTCAGCATAGAGAAAAAATTATCCCTTATTTTATACGTATCGCGAAATTATTAGAGAAAGCTACATGGCCGGATGAAATGAAATACAATGCAACAGACAGTGAGTTTTGATAATTTTAGTTACTCAGAAGTTACAACCTTACTTTTATAGGAATTCCAATTGCAGAAAAATTTAGTTTTTGTTTACATACACTTCTCAGTGATATAGCAGTAAGATGTGAAGAATACAGAAATGAAATTATTGATGTTCAAGTTGAGAGCATGGTACATCTAACAAACAATGTCATTAAGATGCAAGATTCTAATTATTGGAACAGCAGTTCAAAATTGTTTCTATGCAAAGCAACTTTACCTGTTCTTATTGGTCTTGCCCGAGCTATTAGTCGATATAGTTTCAGCGACCCACCTTTAATATGTAGAATTTTTCCTAAACCTGAACCACCAATAACTCAGAAAGAGAATGTTAATAAAAACTTGTATAACAGGAGCTTTAGTAGTTTTAGAAGTATTATACCAAGAAGCTTATCTGGAAATCTGACAGCAACTGTTGATATTTTGGCTATTACACAGGGATACGATGCATCTGACATAGCTTACAAGTCAAATTCTCTTAAAAAGTCACCTGTAATTAATCATAATTCAAGTACTTACGATCCTACGACATATTTCTTTGCCAAATTTGGTTCAAGCTTCAACCAAATTCCTCAGTTGAGGGCTAATGAGAGTAATGATAAAAGAACTTCGATAAGTTTTCCTCAAAATCATTTATCTACCATTCTGGCACTTAGTAAAAAACTCCTTACCAAAGAAATGCTGACTCTTATCGACGAACAATCTTTAGAAATATATTCTACAGGGAAAATCCAGATTTTTCCATATAAAACCTTTTCAGAAACGATTAATTTGGTAATGGTAACTTTGATGAGGGAATTGTTACAGCCACAGTATAATTTACCAGCTCCCTTTACTAAAGAAGTTCAGGAATTTGTGAAAGGATTGTATTTAAATGGTCAGACAGAACTGCAGAGTAGACATCACGATGCAAGTGAGAAGGAGGATAGAGAAAGCAATTTTGCCTTGGTTAATAAATTTAGGGTTAATGTTATGGCTAACGCAGCTTGTGTGGATTTGTTAGTGTGGGCTATTGGAGATGAGACTGGTGAGTATATATTAATTTAGGTCGATAGTTTTATTATATCTGTTAAAGTTATATTTAAATTATTTGAAAATCTGATAATCATCCAGCTTGGTTTCAAAATTCTTAATCTAAGGTTTCAAACATACAAAATGAGTAAAATATTTTATAATAAAATAATTTACAAGGTTTTTCATTTAATACAATGACATCTAGTTCTGGTAGATATTGCAGTACCATATTTTGAAAATTATATTTTAGCTAAAGAATCTCTATCAATATAACTACATTTAATTAGTTTTTTTTTAATTATCTTTTGTTAATTCAAAGGTTTTGTTCTAAAAGACATCCTGTATATACCAGGTGCCGTCTCAAAAGTGGCTCACCCCAATAACTTTTTTATTTTCGCAGATAAAAAAAGTAGAGTATATGATATAAATTCGGATTGATTGACGTATTCAATTGTTTTCGGTCACTTCCTGTTTCACCGGAAATGACTACAACTTTTTATTTTTAAATGGCACCCTCGGTATTTTTTACTTCATTCGATAGAAAATAGCACTCTAAATAGAATGACATATCATATATCAACTTTTGACAATTTCGCATATGGTTTATTTGAAATTGTAACATGCACATAAGGGTGAGCCACTTTTGTGACGCACCCGGTATAATGGTATAATTATTTTTTTTTCTATTTGCGCTTTAGATTTTTCTTAATACTTTACTATGATAGTTACTATTATTATTACTTTTTTATTTCTTGCAGTGGACTTGGAATATAATTTTTCTACTTTGGTTCAATTTCTAACAACCGTTCTAGGTGATACATACCACTGTGTTCTATATGTTTATGTCTTCAATATAAAGCCCCGCCCACACTTATTAACGTTTTACCTGTCACTTTTGCCTGTCAGTTAAAACGGAATACCGTCTAGAGAACCCTTGGCAGTACCCTAGACGGTCGTCCATGTCAATTCAGGTCAAGTAAAAGTAAAACGATCCGTTTTTTCGTCTGTCGAGTGCGACGAAATGACGTTTTGACTGAAAGGGCAAGACTGACAGGCAAAACGTTACGTGTAGACAGGGCTTAAGAGAGTCTATTTACGTCAATTGTAGGCACGATTTTGTATATTTAACATAGGAGAGCTTAAAACAAAATATAACTAACGTGAAAAGACTCTTAAAGGCTTTTTAACTAATTTTTTTTGCGAACTAACAAATAAAATTTTCTGATTTCTATCTTTCATTTTTATTTTATGGAAATTACTAAAAACAATATTTTTGCTCTTATTAACATACTGTATGTTCGAAAAAAAAACATGTTACAATAGGCGTAGAAATATGAATATATTAATATATCTCAAAAAAGTTTGGAGAAAATCCGCTACAGAGTAAAGCGTGAACTAAAAAGCTGAATTAATTCTATGCCTACCAAGACATTGTTTTCTGTTGATCATGCGCTAGAATTTTTTTATAGTTGGAAGTATAAAATTTCGTTACTTTTTTACAGAATTTATATTGTCAGTGCTGATTGTTTTATTTGTAAAATTTATTATAATTAAATAAAAACTTCCCCTTAAATATTTTATTTTTCCCTGTAGGTGCCGATAGCTTATGCGGAAGATTGTCCGAAAAAATCAGCTCCAGCCATGGTTATAAACTGGTTTTGGCTCACATGCCTCTTTTGATGGTCTGTTTGGAAGGTCTAGGAAAGCTAGCTCAAAAATTCCCAAACATTTCATCTACGTCCATTTATTGTTTGAGGGATTTCTTGATAGCCCCCTCACCGATTTTGTCGAAACTACACAAACAAGCGAACGAGAAAAGCAGCAAAGAAAATTTGAAAATTACAGGTAAAACGGGCCATGGACGACAAAACGTGTTGCAGGACAAGTCGGACCAACTAAGTTGGTTTGAGTTGTTTGTAAATTGATATAGTTTTTTATCAGTCTGTGAATTTAACTCTGTTTCGCTAAATAAACTGTAATTATGAACAATGTTTTAGCTGCAGGGAATCAACTCAAGGCGGAAACACTCAAAACGTCCTCTCCTGTTCAAGTTGCTTTTGAAAAATTAAGAGATTCCGCCATAGAGAATCTTTGCTATGCTTTGGAAGCTGCCCACGCTTTGGATCCTGATTGCGTCAGAGCTCTAGTGGCCTCAGTATCAAACAGATTGTTTACAGCTGAAAAAAGCGACAGGTATTATTTTAGAGGTTATGTTTGTTTCAGCTACTCTAAAAAATATATCAGATCGATATTAGTAATGGGTCTATATAATTTTACAATTTACCACAAACAAAAGAAAGAACAAGCTTTGAAAGTCTTTGACAAACTCTGGAACCCTAAAACATTTTGAGGTTCATCGAAATAAAAATATTTTTAGTGTCATTGTACCAGAGGTCCTCAAACTGTACCAATATCTCATAAGCATCGTGTGATTTTATATTGTCTTGAATGATCGCATATTATTTTATTGATATTAAATAACTTGTGAGTCATTTTGGATGGTTATTTTTAACTATTGTTGTAAAAAGTACGTTTAGCTGTGATATCATAAAAAATATATAGTAATCTATTGTAGTGAGTCAGACCCTACGCATAATTGATGAAGTTTCTTATTCTTAGAAAACTATTACTTATAAATTAGGTTATATAAAATAGATGTTATTTTTATTGTTTCAAGCGAGTCAACTTTGATTTCCACCAACATAGTGATCATGTTGGGTCACGTGGCTGTCTCAATGAAAGGAACCCCTAAAACGACAGACACGATTTTACAGTTTTTCCAGCAGAGGTTCTGCAGGGTACCTTCGGCTTTAGATACCCTCATAGTTGATCAGTTGGGTTGCATGATAATCGCCCAGTGCGAACCTCACGTGTACGAGGTCGTTATGAAGATGTTCACTATGATCACTGTGGAGAGCAGTAGCGCCACCTATGGACATTCGAATGAAAAAGCACAATACAGGTAAGCTTGGACAGTTTTTTTTTATAAAAAATTATATTTAGTAAAAATTATTTTTAAATTGTGTAGTTTAAAATTAGAGAAAAAATAATCTTTTGGAAATAGATTTGTGTGTCTGAAAGACTTCTTAGTCTTTCTATAATTAGTGTTAATTTTGAATTTAATATGTCAGTTTTTAGTAAAAGACGTCTAGAGATTGTCTTCGCCAAAATTATCACCGATTGCCATTCCCTACCGGTTTTGACGCCGTTTTTTTCGATTATACGGTATATATTCCATTAGAACAGATGGATTGAGATACTCAGTATACTAAAATTGTTGTATTTTATTGTTTTAGAGCATTATTTGTAGGTTACATAAGTCATAAAAAATGCTGAAATTTGTAAACAACCCTCGTATGAATTAATTGTAAACTGACTACTTTTTGATCTCCCCTATATCCTAACTTAAAACATTAAAACTTCTTTCAGACATGTCTCAAGGTCCGTTATTAACGCCCTAGCTAACATAGCCGACAATATACAGGGCGAACAACAAATGAACGAACTTCTAGGCAGACTTTTGGAACTTTTCGTCCAGCTAGGACTGGAAGGGAAGAGGGCCAGCGATAAATCGCCAGGTATTTATAGTCTATTCCATTTTTAATTTATTTTACTATAAATTAGAGAAAACTATTCTATGTATTTGTGTTCTCTAACTGAAGCATAGGTAAATAGAGACGTATTTGTGCGATGATAATGATTCCGTTTTAATTTTTGTGTAGTTTTAGAAGCAGCCCCATTTAAGATTAAAGATTCCATGATGGGTATGGTATTCTAACTAAAAACTCTAATTTGCACCTAACATAATGTGTGGCTAGGCTTTTAGAATCTAATATTTCAGTTGTATTCGTTAAAATAATATATTATCATCAACTTCGTAGTATTTTATTAAAAATCGTAGTTAAAGTAGCTTTTTTTAACTAACTTAAGGCCTAATTCTAAATTATTTTGACTGTCCAAAGTTGTGCAAAATGTGATGATATTCCTCTTGAACATTTTGAACAAATTTCTTTTTAAAGTATGGTTTTTCTTCTATGATTTCTATGATAAGATAGTTGATAAGTTGTAATGATTGAGAATTAGGCCTTTTCTATTTTGCAATCCAAGTAATATGCGCAACGCTTAATGTTGAATAATTACGTACATATAATAATAAAAAAATAATTAAGTTGGTTCACGAAAATCGTCATTTGGCTAGAAAAGAATTTTATTTTATATACATACTTCTTAACCATTTTCTAGGAGCATTGAAGGCATCCAGTTCTGCAGGAAACTTGGGAGTTCTTATCCCAGTTATAGCCGTACTGTTACGACGTTTACCACCCATTAAAAACCCTAAACCGAGGATCCATAAACTTTTCAGGGATTTCTGGTTGTACTGCGTTATTATGGGTTTCACAGCTTCAGGTTCTGGTAATTATTTTACCAAAATGTGTCCCTAGAACATGTATACTTCCGTGGATATATCTATATCCATGAAGCATATAACATGATCTAGGAGAGGGTGATTTTCTTGTGTTAAACCACCATCTTTCTCTAGGTCTCTGGCCTCAAGAATGGTACGAAGGTGTAAAAGAAATAGCGGCAAAATCACCGACTTTAGTTTCACCAACGTCAAGTAGATCTGAGATGAGGGAACTTCAATACACCTCAGCTGTCAGAAACGACAGTGTTTCTATCACTGAACTGCAAGAACTTAAAAACCAAATCCTCGAGTTGCTCAGGCATCCGCCGGAAGTGACGGCCATAGTCAATAATAAGTTGACTTTCGCTCAGTGCACGTTTTTGTTGAGCGTGTATTGGGTGGAAACTTTAAGGTTAGAATATAGTTCTTGCATGCGATGTATGTACAGAGTCTCTCTATTTACCAGGAATTTATAGAAAAAATAATATGAATAACCCGTATAGACTAATAAAATGTATAACAAATGGAACTGTTATTGATATTTGGAAATAACCCAGGTTAATATACTTAACAGGTTTCTCTTACTCATTGATTTTTTTTGAACAGTCAAAATATTGAAAATAATATATTCATTTTTATATATGACGGTACAAACTCTTAATTGAGGGCCTATTATAATTATTTTTATATCTGTTATTTTTTTTTGAAAGTACCTAGCTTGGAAAAATTGCTTTAGACAACTATCTGAGCTTCACATCACGAACCATCGCTATTTTTTGGAAGTAACAACTATTGCAAACTGTTATTTCTAAACAACAGTTCGAATCGTAACAGTTATTTAAAAATACCAGATTTCTTAGTCATAGACTTTTTTTGTTAAACAGTAAAACTGTTACTGTTATTTACAAATAACAAGTTAACATCACAAGTCTCTCTAAATCATTGATTTGTTTGTTAAACAGTAAAAAAATCCGAAAGAAACGAGTGTATTTTAGTAAACATTTTATATGACAGTATAAATTCTTACTTAATAACCTTGTTATAATTATTTTCATACCTGTTATTTTTTGAAGGTAACAACTGTCGTTAGCTGGGTAAAATTTCGTTACACAACTGTCCCAATTTCACATCATAAACCATTCCACAACTATTGTGAACCAGTGGCGGATACATGGGGCCCGGCCCCCCCTTAAGATCTGTAATTTGTGTAAAATATTAAGCCCCGTTCTCAGAACTGCGACTGTCGCCAGCGACACGACAAAAGAACCAATCAGATTTGTACAAAATTCAAACAGCTGTCAATTTTAAATTTAGTACAGCTCCCATTGGTTGTTTGAAATGTCAAACTGTGTCGCCCGCTACACGACGTTATTCTGAGAACGGGGCTTTAGGCTTTTGGGTTAAAAATGGCGCCCTAAAAGGCATATTCTACATTGCTTATTATTTTGGCCCCCCTAAAATAAATTCTTGTATCCGCCCCTGTTGCGAACTGTTATTTCTAAATAACAGTTTTAAAATAACAGATCGTAAAATAACAAGCAATCTCTTGTTTAAATATATCGAAATAATTGAGTTTTCTATTTGGCATTTGTTGTGAACGTTTTGGTGTGCTCTTTTTTACTTTTGGTTCTCTCTAGGGTTCAACATTCAGGCGAACCCAGCTTGGTACCCATCATATCGAACTACCTAAGCGATTCTGCCCTACAAAAAGACAAATCGAGCATGTGGATGTGCGTGGCTTCAGTTGGTGACCGAGTGTTCGAGAAATTCCTCGAAGTGATGAAGAACAAGCCCAAGGACGAGGCCCGCGAGGCAGATTTGGAACAGCACGCCCAGTTTTTGCTGGTCAACTTCAACCACACGCATAAGCAGATCAGGAAGGTTTCCGACAAGTTTTTGGTCAGTTTGGTGGACAGGTTTGGTCATCTGTTGTGGAGCAAAAGGTAAAAACAGAGTAATTTTAGGTTAAAATAATTTTTATGTTCCTTTTTTATAGAGTGTTATGGACGATGCTTGACATTCTCCAAGTTCTATCCCATTCTCTGGAAATTGACCCTAACCAAGAGACTCCCACACTGAGGATTCCCCAAACTCCTTACTCTATACAACTGATGGACACACTAGAAGCTAGGGAATCGATAGTGAAAGATTTTGCAACGAATTCAGAGAGGTTCATAGCGGAAGCCATGATTTGGGCTCCGCAAAGAACCATATCTCACATTCAAGAATATATGACTCAGGTCTCAAGTTCAGGTAGGATGATGTGAAACAATTTCTTCTTGAGTAAATTTTTCCAGTATGTAGTTGGTAATATATTTCTTACTGTATTTTATATTTCTTGTTCTAAGGTATATGGCGCCATACCGGCATTTCCATGGCACTGGAATCCATATTACAATACGCCCCTCTAAACATGTACAGCACCCCACTGAGCACAAGTACCCTGGAAAAAAGGCCGAAGTGTGTCAAAAGTGACTCGAGCAAGATTATTTTGACGTCGTCGAAAAGATCAAAATATATTGGCGAAGTGGTAGGAATGTTGACGATATACGGTGAAAAAAGAAAGGAAGAATTGGTCAACACAATTTTACAGAGAGTTTGGGATGCGTGCAAGCAGCATTCTGACGCTTTGCACAGCGATGCGCTGTGGCAGGCGACCGCGCTGCTCATACATACTTCGTCGTTTGACAGGAATCTGTTGCATTGTATTGCAGGGTCTCAGGTATGTTTTGAACTCTTAATAATATAAAAATAGCAGAGGCTTGCATATAATGTAGGTAAAAAGGCTCCTTACCCTAAACAAGATATAATCTTTTTTTTTTATATCATTACATGACAAAACGACCCAGAAAAAGGGAATAAATATCTATAAAATAGAAATATTCTATTGTCTAGGTTGAGTTATTTAGTGTAGAAGCAATGAAAACTGCAGTGGAATGCTGGCATTGGCTAATCACGGCCAAACCAGAGCTAGAAATGAGGTTTCTGCAGGAAATGGTTGCAGCCTGGAAGTGCACCATTTACAAGAAACAAGGACTCTTTTCTGTCACACCTCCACAAACCAGTCCGCTAGCAGTCTACGAAGGTATGTACAGTTCAATTCACAGAAGATGATTATAGCGCTAGAATATTTTTACACAGAAAAAACATGTGGAATCAATTTTTAAATGTGTTAGACTGAGACAACATTCCGTTTTTTTTGTCTCAGTCCCTGTATTGAACAAAGGTAGAACAATTTTTCTTATCATCTCTTATTTAGAGCTGTTGTAACAATCTTTCAAAGTTACATCGTCATTATTTTTTTAATGCCTGTTTTAGGGCGTGTCTGAGATTATTTCACATTTTTAGGAAATTTCAAGTACGTTCCGAAATTAGTAATTAACTGCGTTCCGATTTTCATTTCGTGTATATTTGTCCTTTATTAATTTTGGTTGTGTTTCACTTTAGAATTTTAAGCGTAGATATATATTGAAATAAAATTATAATACATAATTAATAATCAATATACTGTTCAGAAAATAACAAAAGTCCATTTGAGCAACTCCAAGGAGCGTCTTTCTGATCAACTTAACCATTATTTTTAAGTACAATCTTTTAGGTTGTCGCCTTGAACCGGACAATCCTTTTGTCAAACCTCACGTCATTTGGGTCCAGTTCATTTGCGAATTGGTTGAAACCATTAAGTACAGCAGCTATGAAAAAGTAGAAATGATTGCTAGTCTTATCCATCACTCTCTGTCAATGTCTGTGGGTTCTGAACCAGCCAGTATGACTAGGCATATATCAGCTGTAGGAGTCCGATTTAAGTAAGTTTATTACTTCGTAAACCTCCTCAATTATACCCATGAGTTATCTTTTGCCATTTTTTTTTGAAGATTTACATTTTTCGGGAAATTAAAAAAAACATTTTTAGTGCCGCAGGTTCTTACTCCTATAATTTAGAAGCAGTGTTATCGAAGCTTTGCAATGTTGCCACCACCTATATTACATATTTATGTGTTAATAAGTTCACAGTAATTTTAATTTTCTAAACAACAAATAACGAAAATTAACTTTATGTCAGTATTACTGATAATTCTAAAACAACGCACTGTACTTATTTTTGACACAAGATAATACATTTTTACAGTTATTTTCAACTAAACTTAAAAAATAAATGTTAACAATTAATGCATATACTCTTATCGTCATATTACAAAGAATTTTCAATCAAAATTGTCCTCCATATGTCAAGATAGGACGTGCTCAAAATGTTTATTCATGATTCTACTGAATTTGCAAAAATGAATATCACAGCTATTTTTAATTCATTCTAAAATGGTATATAGAAAATATGATTCTTTTGTACCTCTTAAAATCACGGCACTTATTTAAGAGACACCCTATATATTATCTCTGCCATTTTAGATTACTGACTTGCGGATTATCCCTGTTACAAGGAGATATACTGCCGAAAAGTTTGGCAAAGAACGTTTTAAGAGAAAGAATTTACTGTTGCTGCCTGGATTATTTTTGTAAACCTGTGAAGTGTCCCACCCAGAACCCCAATGATTTAAGAGAAGATATAACAAACTTGATTAAATTCTGGCAAACACTACATTCGGATAAGAAGTACTTAAAAACCAGCGATGTTGGAGGTGAGATTGACAGATAGTGTTACATTGTATATATAGAAATAAACGTTTTTAATAGATTTAGGGCCAAGTACCCCATTATCTGGTGTCCAAAACAATGAACTGATTAAACCCAGCGATTTTGGGAGGCCTACTTCCGGATGGATCAACACAGTACCGCTGTCGACTAGTACCGCGACTTTGAGCAAAAGATCGGCGAAATCAACGAGGAAAGCACCCATGGCTGACAATTTTGTGAAATGCTACCTGAAGAAACGGAATCTAATTTTGGAACTTCTGGCTGTAGAAATCGAGTTTTTGATTGTGTGGCACAACCCTACATCCAGGTTAGTAAAGTACATTAAAATCCAGTCCAAGAAATAATACAAAATAAACACAAAAAGTGCAACAAAATCATAAAAACTCAAATCTGCTAGAAGAAAAGCCAATCTATACTTTTTTCTCTTTTTTTTATTAGATTTTTTCATTCTGTATTTTTGGCAGAGAATTTGAGACAGCCTGTACACGATCAGACATACTTTTTTCTAGGTTAGAACTTATCATTCCTGGCGAAGAACAGATCGTTTCTTGGAGAGCGAAAGCCATCAGCGATAAACAATGGAACGATTTCACTAGATTAGCCTGGGACATATCGCCGGTTTTAGCTATCTACCTACCGACCAGGTTCAAGATAAATGACGCCATAATCAGCCAAATCAAGAACTTGGTTCAAATGAACCCCAGCAGCGTCACTCACGTACCTGAAGCTTTACAGTATCTCGCTACCACAGAAGCTATTTTGGCGGATAGTCCGAAATTGGTACACATGCTGACTTGGTCTAGGATATCACCTATACAGGTTGGTATTTAAATATACACAATTTTGACGGTGCAGGTAAAAATCAGAACAAGGTTTTTTAAATACAATAAATTAGGAAAATATACAATTTATTTTATAATATTGTATTTTTAGGCTTTGGCGTATTTTAGCAGACAGTTTCCGTCACATCCAATATCAGCCCAGTATGCTGTCAAAGTTTTGAGTTCATATCAGCCGGATGCTGTACTGTTTTATATTCCACAGCTTGTACAAAGTTTACGTCATGATAAGGTAAGCATTGTAAATTTTTTTGTCAGTTGTGTTCATGATATACATTTATGACACTATATGTCTATCTGATTTTTTTAATATAATTTCTGGTACGTCTTGATCGCTTTATATACCCAGAATTACGGTTCTAAAATAATCTCAGCTTGTTTAAATGTTATGGAATACTCATTCTCTATGGTCGAATTTCACGAACGCTTTCTTGATTCGCTAGATTTCACAACAGTGTTGCCTATAAGAGGAAAGATTCCCCAATTTAATGAATTTCCATAGCAATATTTTTGACATACCAATATTCTTAAAGACCAAATTGCGTATGAAGTTGTACATCAAGTTTCCATTTCTAGATGGGTTATGTAACCGAATTCATCAAATATATCGCCAAAAAGTCACAGATTGTCGCCCATCAACTCATTTGGAACATGAAAACCAACCTGTACATTGACGAAGACATGCAGAAAAAAGATCGTGAGATATTATAACTTCAGTTATATCCCCCACAATGTTTTATTTATTTTTTCCTTAATTTTCAGCTGATTTATTCGAAATATTGGATTCTCTAGTGTCTTGTATCGTCAACGAGTTGTCGGGACCAGCCAAAATGTTCTACGAGCGAGAATTCGACTTTTTCGAAAAAATAACTGCTATTTCGGGCGAGATTAGACCCTATCCGAAAGGTCCGGAACGAAGAAAGGCTTGTTTGGAAGCCCTAAGTAAAATTAAGGTATATCAAGATTTTTTTAAATATTTTAATCTTAGAGCATAATCTACCTAGACACCATAATGCGTTACAGGTATTCTGTAGCCAACATAATTATGTGATGTCATGTTATGGCACGGGTGTAAAGTAAAATTTTTATTTATTAATAGGTGCAATCAGGATGTTATCTACCTAGTAATCCAGAAGCTATGGTTCTGGATATCGACTATAAGAGCGGCATTCCCATGCAAAGCGCAGCCAAGGCTCCATATTTGGCGAGATTTAAAGTTGTGAAATGTGGCATCAATGAGCTGGAAAATATCGCCATGGCCGTGTCAATTAATGAGGTATGAAATTCGTTTTTTTAACTCTTTTATAGGTTATATTTGGAATCTTATTTTGATAATAGAAACCACCAGATTTGTCTCTTGGTCCTGAAATATGGCAAGCGGCCATTTTCAAGGTGGGAGACGATGTCAGACAAGATATGCTCGCTCTTCAAGTGATAGGAATATTCAAAAATGTATTCCAAACCGTAGGCTTGGATTTGTACCTGTTCCCATACAGAGTTGTAGCTACTTCCCCTGGTGTAAGTATAGTTCTTCTCGCGTAAGTTTTTCAAGCATTCATTAGTCCTGACACAATGTCTTCCCAGATTTATACACTTTGGATTACAACCAATTAATAAAACTATAAATAAAATATTTTTTAGTGCGGAGTAATTGAGTGTGTTCCAAACGCCAAATCCAGAGATCAGTTGGGTCGTCAAACGGACATAGGCATGTATGAATACTTCTTGAAGAAATACGGCGAGGAGTGTACCAAAGAGTTCCAAAACGCCAGAAGAAACTTCATTATATCTATGGCGGCGTACAGCGTTGTCGGATTTCTTCTGCAAATTAAAGACAGGCACAACGGCAACATCATGTTGGATACAGAAGGACACATTATTCACATCGGTAACTTGATGAAAAAATTCCGGAAAAAAGAGCGCATGATCTAAAAAAACGGTGTCGTAGTGGTCTTTTTCAGAGGTCACTGTGACGGCGATTTTTTTTATCGTATTTCGTTAATAACCGTTTTTTTTAAGATTTCGGATTTATGTTTGAGTCGTCGCCTGGGGGCAACTTGGGATTCGAACCTGACATTAAACTGACGGACGAAATGGTTATGATAATGGGCGGTAAAATGGAGGCTGCGCCATTTAAATGGTTTTCCGATTTATGCGTACAGGCATATCTTGCTGTCAGGTAATTTATGTCGTTAAAAATTATAAGCAAATAATTTTTTCTAACTGACCCTGTAAATTCTGGTCATTTTTTTCAGACCATATCAAGAAGCTATCATATCGTTGGTGTCTTTGATGCTAGACACAGGGTTGCCATGTTTCAGAGGACAAACCATCAAATTATTGAGAGGTCGCTTTAGTCCGGGAGCAAACGACAAAGAAGCGGCAAATTACATGCTGCAAATAATCCGGAACAGCTTTTTGAACTTCAGAACGCGTACTTACGACATGATTCAGTACTACCAGAATCAAATTCCCTATTAAACATTCCACTTAGCTGATAGAAATTAACTGTTAGCCTGAGAACAGGCAACACTGTATTATATTAGATGCATTCTAGTCAATTTTTTATTATTTTTTCAAATTAATTGTGGGCTTTCTGTTACCTTTGTATAAATTATAATATATTATATTAAATATGTTATGTATAAGACTAAACCATTAGAATCTATGAGGATGTTATTATAAGTATTAATAAATATGTATATTTAATAAATATTCTTTATTTCAAAATTAAATTTTGTAAATTTCTATACATTGTGTGTCAAAAAGTTCAAAACAAATGAGATTTTTATTGAATTATTGAAAGAAATTTCAATAACTCAATAAAAAAATCTTATAACTCAATAAAAATGTAAAAAAAGGACTTTTGTAATTTGCCACCATGACAGTTAACACATGATAAATTCTTTATAATTTTTTTTGAATAACAATAGTGCTACAACTAAGAGCATTGTGCTACAATATCTGTCGTAACCTTGTTATTAAGAATTTCAATCCAATATCCATCCGGATCTGTAATGAAAGCTATACCTTTCATTTTCCCGTCATCTGGTTTTTTCACAAACTTGACTCCGAGCTTCTCAAAACGTTCACACGCTTTGTAAACATCTGGTACCATCAAACCAATATGGCCTATATAAATATTAATTAACAAGTTATTTCTTTTGTGTGAGTGTAATATATAAACTTACCAAACCCTTTGGGATCTGTATTGCCATTGTTGTAAGCGAAATTCTCATCTTTCTCTGTGCCCCAGTTGCTAGTAAATTATAAAATGTAAAAATAAAATATTTTATTCATATATTTGATACTAACTGTGTGAGTTCTATGGTGGCTTTTCTGCTTAAAGCCCATTCGGTTCGAGAGCTAGTGCCTAGTTCGAAAGGAGTGTTATCTTCGTATCCAAGAAAGTAGAGGGAAAAAGTCATAGCGGGAAAGTCCAACTTTGTAAGGAGTTTCATTCCAAGTATCCCTGTGTAAAATGGTAAAGATACTCTTGGATCTTTAATGCGATACATTGTTTGTTGCATTATAAAATCCTGTAGAAAATAATAATAGTTTTAGCAGTTCAATTTTTCTTAAAATTATAAAGAATACCTTGGTCTCTTCGGGTTTTTGATTGCATAATTCTAAAGCTTCTTCATTAGATAAGGGTGGTTTTGCTAAGTCACCCATTTTTTCGAAATAAAGATATTTTAATTTGAATTCTAGATTTTAATTGTGATTTCAGATTCACACAGGTTTCATAGGTTAGGAAAAATCAAGGTCAGATACCCTGAACTTTTTTTATTCATATAAACCTCTGATATAAACCTTACATGATTCTTAGAAAGGTTCTTTGAAGACAGTACTTTACATGGAATAACTGGATGTATTTTAAAAAATAATAATTTTAAGTCTGTAATCAGGTATTTATATTAAAACACATATTACAACTCATACAAAAATACATTTATTTAAAGTTAAGACTATAATTAGACATATATAATTTCCCCACATCCCCCTTTTAATGATCAATAATAATAAGTTCATCAATACCCCAATCCTCATACGAATGATCTGGTAAATATCTCCTAATAATTATGGGTATTTTACGTTGTTTTAATTCCTTCATTGCTATTTGTAGAGGGTCCGTCTCGCCGTCTAATTCGACCATAACAGGGGCACACATCGCGATCTGCAAGGCTCTTGTGCCTAAAACCCTAGCTCTTTCATATTTTGTCATGTACTTCGTTGTTATTCGCTTATTTTTTGGAACACCGCCTCCAGCTTGACCTGTAAAGAGATTATTGTAGTAATAGTAATATAGAATTGACTAGAATTAAGAACCTGGCTGTAAAATATCGATGTTATCTCCTTCTTCCTCTGGCTGTTCTAGTTCCTCAATGTTTTCATCCTCCACATCATCTTCAAAGTCGTCGCCGACGTCGTTATCATCATACTCTTCGTCTGCCATGATTATAGAGTAATTTTAAAGTTCCCAAGAGTTTTAAGCAATAAATGATTTATTTATTTTACAGAGAGTAAAAAATACGTATAAACAACGGCAAACTTGACTACCTTGAGTAATTTGAATTAACCTAACTTTTCATATCAAAACACAAACATATGACTATGACATCTGTCATGTATATTTATTCCGTTCTATGGCCAAGAATTTTAATCTTTTATAAGATATGATCTAGGTTTATAATATATGATCGTAGAGCGGGCAAGTGGAAAGTGGAACCACAGTTGTCACATCTAGAATTTTTACCTAGAATTTTAATTATTTAACTCTTCATTATATATGTAACAGTCATTAACCTAGATGTAACAATTTTATTGCAGTTAGTTTTGTAAATTGATATTTTAACTATCTTTGTCTAAAATCGTTCCACTGTCTTACTGTATCTTCATTATTTTGCCTCTACGTTAGTCAATTTTGAACCAATTTTTGATGAAAAATTATACCCAACTGGTCATACAAGTCGGTGGTCTGTATTTGCGAGCATAAAATAATAAACTAAATCTTGCGCGTACCGTAATGAGTAAGACAAAGATACTTTTATAACTTAATTAGTTGATATACAGAGATTCAATGAAATGCAGAGTTGCCAGTTCTCACGTGTAGTAGACACTCATAAAACAATAAACAAGCACTGTAGATTTAGATTACAGGGACCTTATACTGTGAATGGAGGCAGAAGTTCAGAACATTAGGAAGATATAAATATGTTATAATAAAATAGTTCAATAGCTCTTATGTTATTTATTTTTAGTCTATACAACTTAAAATATTCTAAATGGCACCAGTACAGTTATATCACAATTATTAAATTTTGTGACCGCTTGTGTTATGTATAAATAAAATGTCTTAGCTTATATACAGATATATAACAACAAAAATCATCGGTAAAATAAATACACATGTAAAAAAAACAATTCAGTCCTCAAATTATAAATTACTGTAGCGTTAAATAAACTTAAAACATTTTTGTTTGTCGTGCGGTATCCGCGTTTTAAATAATATAGAATCCGCTCTATACTGAGTGTTTAGAAGAGGCGTATATCCAAAGACCTAAAAAAATCGAAAATAATATAAATTTCAAAGTAGTAATAACAACGGAAAAAATTACCTGAGAAAAAAAATTAATGCATTTGTGCCTTTCCTGAAAATGAGTATCATCCTCGGACAAACTCTGAGGACATCCCAGACATCTGAACGTCCACCTAGACGTAACCTTAACCGGGGGTTTTTTGGTTATGTGACTGACCAAAAAATTCATGGCAATGTCTTCGCAATTCATGTATTCATCAACTTTGTCCCTGATAGCTTGCGGTAACCATTTCCAGTACAAATGTAAGTAGTACCTGTGCAAAAAGGCAGCTCCCGTGAGCACCATACTTAATTCACAGCTATAGTTTGAATTATACAGCCAGCTGTTTTTTGTATTGAGGTCCCAAGCGTGGAATCTCCCAGGGAATCCCACAATCCGATCTCTGTGTTCCCTCCATACTCTGAAGCCAAACAAAATCTCGTCGTGTCTTAAGTGTGCATCGTCATCAACAGAGAGTACAGCCTCAGTCTGTAAATTCTCCAAGGGAAGGAATCTGTTGTTTAGGGAGTTCCTGGCAGCTTTGATTATGTGGACGGGGGCGCCAATATCAGGCCAGCGGAGTTCTGGACTGGGCAGACGCGGTGAGTTCCATATAACTACCACGGAGTGAAGGTAGGGTAATCCCCGGAGACGCGCTATGGAGTCTATGAGTACCTGTTCGCGCTCGTAGGTTAGGAGGATGATGGTGAATTGTTCTCGGGGGTTATTGCCCCCCAGGGCATCGGAGAATTCCTTCCCTGCGCCCCCTTGGCCGTTTCCTATGGGGCGGAAGCCTCGTCCAGATCCGACGAATTTGGCGTCTGAGGGTAGGATGGGGTCCATGGGAAGTGCAGCGTATAATCTAGATAGAGAAAAATTATTTCGCACTGGGTTTTCCAGACGATAAATAAAATTTGTGTAAAGTATGCCAGGCAATAATACAAAGTAGTTATGATCCCTAGATAATATACAGGGTGGTCCGAACTGTATTCCGGAAACTTCGGCGGCATATTCTGCAGATAAAGATAAGTAAAAAAGTTTGTATAAACGTAGGTCCTAAAATGCTTAGTTTCGGAGATACAGGGTGGTGAAGTTTCATTTTTATTCCGATTTTTTCTAAATAATTTCTGAAGTAACGTCAATATTTAGTGTTTTTTGACATGATAAATTTGATTTTGATGTCAATATGACTACTACTTGTAGAGGGCGCCACCTACATATTTTTTAACTGGTTTAAAGGGTAATAACTTTTCGTCCATACCTGTATAATACAATTTGACAGATAAAATTTCTGACAGATGATGTTTCAGCCAATAGAATTACTGGAAATCGATTCAAGGTCGTTACGCCGTTTTTAGGATAGTGTTGAAACATTCATCTGTCAGAAATTTTATCTGTCAAATTCATCTGTCAAAAATTTCAGCCAATAGAATTACTGGAAATCGATTGGCTGAAATTTTTGACAGATGAATTTGACAGATAAAATTTCTGACAGATGAATGTTTCAGCCAATAGAATTACTGGAAATCCATTCAAGGTCATTACGCCCGTTACGCCGATACGCCGTTTTTAGGATAGTGTGGCTGCACCCTCAGTCAAATAACTATCTACTCAACATGTTTGTTTTTTGTCAATAATGACATGTATTGACTTGTCAATCATAAATCCCTGTATAATGTTATCAACCAAACCCTGTATAATGTTATCTACCAGACCCTGTATAAATTTTATTACTTTGATATATTTATTTATTTTGTATAAAACAAAGGAGTTCAAATAATAATAATAAACAATAATAACATACCTGAATGGATCTCCCCAGTCATTCCACATTTCATGCCCTTGAGTGAGACCTAAACTATAATTCCTGCGATAAGCTGGACTATTATAGGGCGGTTCTAATGGTCCCAAGCTCTCTTCTTGTTCAACATCACCAGTAGCAAGAACTACAATCATATTTTTTAACTAAACAATCATATATTTTTTTATTATAAAATTTTTACCTAAAATTGGTTGAAAAGTGTCATTAAAAACACTCACAGCTGCCACTGTATCTGCCGGTAGTGGCGGTATATTAAGCCTATCTCTTAACACAGCTACTATAGTATCTAAAGTACTTTGTACCGAAGCTAAGTACCTTTCCCATATTAACCTACCCTGTCTTCTAAACAGAAGAATATCTTCATCTGGAATTGTTCTTAAAACAAAATGAAGCTCTGTCACTCTAGCTTTTGGCAAGAATATTGCTACTCTCTTCCACTGAATCACTTCGCTGTAAGCAAGTTTTACTTGATCGCCACCAAGAATCACTGGAATTGCACCTGATCTTAGAGCCTCATACACCCGAGCTTGTAAAAGGGTTGTAGATACATATTCAATAGAACTAGGTGCAAAAATTAGAGCAAAAGTCGATTCTTTCAGAACAGACATTCTACTACTATCAGTACCACAAAGAGCCCAGTCTTGTGGGCCCATATTCATACTATCATCGCTGGCAGGTACACACTCGAAATCAAACAAAAACTTGTCAGAAGTATGAGTGTTTGCAAGCTGTTTTAAATGTTCTAATATAAAATTATTTAGCTCGGTGTTTTCTTTTTCAAGTTCCTCATCAACAAAAACTAATTGTTTTTTGGTGATGTAGGCTTTATTAATTTTCATTTCGCCTTGAAATGTAAGCAAATACTTGCGTCGACTTGGTACCATATGGGAACATTCGTGCCAAACATCACCTCCAGGAGGTCCCAAGACAGGTGAGACAATTAGGTCAAAGTTTGGTCTGAAATAATCATGATAAAAAGTTGATTGGACTAATATTGCTCTGCCTAAAACAAAACATAATTTAAAATTTTATTAGTTCTATAAAAACATATAAAATACCTGTGTCAACGCTAGAAAAAATATCTCCATTAATAGCACTCAAATCCCTTCGAGCCAAATTTAATAAAATATGATTTCTTCCATCTCCACCCCAGTATGGTAAGCGTTTCAGAGCTTCAGAGTCCAGTGGTGGTAGATTGAGATGATTTCCTATATTCTCAGTAACATCATCTGTGTCTTTCAATGCTTCTCCTAAATATAAACTAGGTTTGTTTTTAATAATTAATATTGTCAATTTCCTTACCGACTAATACTAAAAATACACAGGCTTCTTTAGGGTTCTGAGTCAAATGTGGGTTATATCCCAGAACTTGCTTTAAGGTAGTTTTCAAGAAGCCATCTACATCCCAGCCTTCATTCATAACAGCATGCTGATCAGGGTCATAAAGGTAGATTGGAAATCCTGATGTTAATGAGCATCTAAAACTCCACATTTTTTTATTATTCAGAGTATTTAAAAACATTATTCACCTGGAATGATCAAAACATGAAAACATTCTACAATTCCTTGATCTGTTTCGAGGAATAGGTGGGAGAATATGCGGTAAACTATCAGGAGTCAACTTTTTCGGTAAGGCTAAATCTGGAGTGTTTTGTTCTAAGGCTTCGTGCATGGCAACTTGGGCTTGTTCAACTGATATTTTCAGCCTATTTAAATTTGTTTGATGGTGAGCTAATTCCGTTTTCAGTTCTTCTATATTCTTAGAATATGTCTAAAAATAATGATTGTAAGAAATGGCTAAATATCAAAACAACAATAACATACCTGTAGTTCTTGTTTAAACTGCTGCCTCTTTTTCTCAATATCTCTAAGCTCACTTAAAACCGAACCTCTTATTCTAACTAGTTCTTCTACACCTACTCTTAGATCTATTTCTTTTACGTCTACATTTTCTGGCAGGTCCAGATGCGAATGTGCATTATGTGTTATCGAACTTACATTTCTTTCGACTTTGGACAAATAAAAGTGAGTTATTAGAGGTGTCAGAATTAAAATAGCTAGTACCATTACGACTATCCTGGAAAGTTTAACGTTGACGAGCCAGTGAAGAAAATTTCTTGGCTCAGCATTTATCAGAACCATCTTTAAAAGCTCTTGTAACGATTACCCGGCGTTACGTAAAACAATCAAACATTTTGAGAGTTGAATCTTATGCCTACGTTGATATTACGATAATCCTACCTTGTTGTTTCATACATTTTATTAAAAATATTTTGAAAAATAAACAAAAACCTTCCCCCGTTTGGTTATTTTTGTAATGACATTTTGAATTTTTGACTTGACAGTTGACAGAATAATAAAAATGACGCATAACAGAAATGCCAACATAAGTAAAATACATGTTTTAATAATATCATATTGTCTATGGTCAGAATCATATAAATGTATTATATGAATATACCGGGATTATATGATAGAGGCATGATACATTAATTTTTCATAAAATCAATACCGTATGATCGAAAATAAACGGCCTAAACGTGGCTTGGAGAAATAATCGATCTATGATAGTCACCATATAATTTTACACAAAAAATGACACCGTTTTTGATTTCCAAGCCAACTCCGACGCTTTTTTTCTATCGTTTGGTAGTTATTTACCTTATTTCTAATATTTTTCGAAATAAAATACGTATTTCTACAATAGATTTCTTTATTTAACATATTTTAGTATAATATGAGTATTTACATCAAGTTGTTTATACGTAATTTGTGCTTTAAATTTCTAAGCAGTGCAAAAAACGGATCTCTCACAATTTCTTGACAAACTAAACAATTACATAAATCCCTTGTAAAACCAGCAGTTCCTGTAGCATTTTATTTAAAAATTTGTAAATATTATTACCACTTATTACATAGTTACTCCATCTTCATCAAAAATTGTAGTTTTGGCTTATATATAAGTGAAAATATAGATAAAGCATTTTTTATTTTAGGTAATAAGATGGTTATCTTACTTCTTATAGAATAGTTATATATTTTCTGAGACTTTTATATTTGGCCATATGTATGTATACTCATATCGATTATTTCAAAATCATACATTACTTATTTTTGAAAACAATTAGTAATGGGCGTTTTTTTGGTAAAAATAATTTAAATTTAATAGAGGCACATCATTTTCTTTAAGAATTTTGTGATATAAGCAAAAGGACGGTGTTAGCTTAAGATACAATAACGAATTGCAGTGTACAGCTTTAAAAATTATTTCTTTTTATTTGTTATACATATTCTAACTATTTAACTTCTCAAAACTATTAAATTTTAGCTACATCAACAAAAAATATTTTTTTCTGAGAAAAAAAATATAATACTCTCTATTAAACACTAATATTTTAATTCGATATATAGTTTACTGGTACTAGTAACAAATTTATTAAAGTAAGAAGTAACTTTACCCTACATATTTGGCTATTTCCCTAGAATATTTTTTTTCGTCAAAAATGCTTTCTATAATAATTTAACAAGAACATATAATAACTAAGAAACTTTGTTACATATTTTCTAACATCTTAAACTTATCTTCAATGGATCTTATGACATTGACGTTGAATATCACTTGGAGACATAACAAAACTGCCTTAAAAGCTGATTAAGTACATCTAAGTGCCAAAAAATCGTTACGACACAAATTCTTATCGATGGAATATAAGTTATTCTTTCAGCCGAGCATTCGGCTGAAAAAATACGGGTAGAATTTTCTCGGCTTGGTAGTATGAAGACTCCGGTGCCTGTTCATCTTCTTCGGCTCATCTGATGGAAAGGGATGGTCACTGTAAGGTTCGGTAGTACCAGGCTGAAGGGTAGAGTCTCTGGAAGGAGATGAAGATATAAAAGTTTGTCCTAACAAGGATCTTGGAAGAAATTCAGCTTTGGATACTGAAGGCTGTTTTTCAGTAGTAACATGTAAGTTTTCGTGATGAACTGGGGCTAGAGTGTGATGATTCAGCATGTAAATTCTTGGATCAATCGGATTTTTTGGTTCTGGAGGGTTGTCTTTTGAAATATCTTTGGAACCGTTCTCTGGTACAACCAGATGAGTTTGAAAGAAGTTTGTTTGAACCACTTTATCCAAGTTGGTTTCAGGAATCGCACTTTCGTTCGAAGAAGCAGTTTTATCTTCACTTTCTTTACCATCGAAGTCCAGTTTGTTTGAGACGGTAAAGCCCAAAATTTTTGGAACTTCTGAGTTGTTGGAGCCGTTCTTCTCGATAAAAGGCGGTACTTCTTTACGGAACGTTCTGTTTAATGTCAGGGATGTATCTTTAACCTCCGGCAACATTACGAATTCTTTATTTAAACTTTCTGGGTCTTGTTTTTGAGTCTCCGTTGGGCTTGAAGTAGTCGGTTTGGATACTGATTCTTCTTTTATTATCCTCTTTGTTGGAACTAGAGGTTTTTTGGTAGTTGGTTTCTTGGTGGGAGGAGTTTCATTAGACGACGTAATAGTAGAGCTGGATTCTTTCAATGCTGTAATAGCAGATCCAGTAGACGATTTATTAATGCTTGAACTTGTCGTCGATGGATTTTTTATGGTTTTTGAGTCTAAGATTTCCTGCTCGGTCTCATTCAATTCGATGATATCAAACATTGTCCCTAAAATACAAAGAATTTAGTTTCTAAAAAAGTGTGATTTACAGTTTTTTACCATTTTCGATGATGCTAAATAATTGACCTTGGTTGATAGCGCTCGGGTACTCATCTAAATTTGCTGGGATTGTTGATGGGATGCTAGTTGATTCCATATTTTTTAGTAGTTTGTTTTTAGAAGTACTAACAGACTCTTTGTTGTTCTCTGTGGTAGATGAAGATATTTCTGGGGAAGTTGTAGCCACTTCAGAAGACTTTACTGTTGAAATTTGTACTGGTGCTGAGTGCTAAAATAATAAAATAATATTAATAACTTTAATTGTTTTTCTTTTTAAGTTTTAAAATTATATAATTTTTTATTCGAAAATATAAAAATAAAACAAAAAAGTTCATAATAATAGTCATCCATACATATACAGGGTGAGTCTTGAATAAGTGCAGATAATTTCAGATCTGGTAGGTCTCGATAAAAGAAACATATTTTATTCTTTACTGTTTTTTAAATAAGTCCAAAATAACCAAGATATTTTACTTTGAAAATAATTAAAAAAAAATTGTTTAAATTTTGAGAACCGTTGGATCTTATCTGGGGTTTCTTTCTTCTAAATTTAATCTACCCTCTATGTTGCCATTTTATGAAGATATTATGTTTTTTATCTAAAAATAAAAAAAAATTCAAAAAAATTTTTTCAAAGAATTTTAAATTTTTAATTTTTCTTCTAGAAAAAAAAACCATAAACGTGTTTCTGGGAACGAAATATACTACTTCTAAAAATATTTGCATTTAAGCCTCACATTATTTCTTCATTTTTTTTATTATAATATTTTGTATTATGATACACATTTTATTAATATTTCAGTATTTCAATAAATTAATACTTGTTTGAAGGCGTGGTATATGTTATTATATATACATAAACTACATTACATAAACTAGACAAATTAGACATAAACTACATTAACTATATGTAATGTAGTTTATAATCATCTGCTGATGATGCTAACATGGTTAGCGAAACGCGCGTCCAGTGTAAAAGTAAAAGTGTTTTGGTGTATTGTGGTGATTTAGTGTGTTTATTTTGATATGTTATTCAAAAACTTATATTTTCTATTTTATTCTATAAAATTAGAAGCTGATGAAGCTGTGTTTTTATGAATATATAATACATAAATCAACAAAATATTTTTGTTCTCAATCACTGCTATCAATGAACATTAGCAAACTTTTTGACATCCAGTTGAATGCAATCGTTTCATTCAAAACAAGATTATCAACATTAAAAATAAACATATTTCATACTTTTCTAATTTACTTACTTTCTAATATAATATTAGTCGTTTAACTTCGCCAATAAATTGGATCATAAATATGTAATATTATTAATTACGGTAAGAAACCACATGTTCCCCCACTTAAACGAGAGCACGTAAGCCTTCCCCATTAATAACATCTAAGAATAACAGCCTTAATGACAGACTATCACTGGCATCACTTCTGTCGAGAATTGATAACTTAATTATGAACTTTACGGCTGGAACAATTTGTCGCACCGTCTGCTACAGAAGCCACATTTCTAACCTTGTTCAAATAAGTAATGAGCAGTGTGAGATATAGAAAATAGAGGACATCTACACGATATATGCTTCAAGAAAATTTATTTTCTTTTAATATTTAACTTTTATTCTCAGGGCTTTGACAAAAGCCAGAATCTGAGACGGTTTTACAGAGGTTAGTTCTCCATCTCTGATATCAGTCGTACCAAAGTTTATGGCATGAATGGCTGTCGTCTCGGCGCACTCTGTGATGAGGTGTTCTGGTGTTTTCCCATTTTCCCCACAGAATCTGCATTCACCGTTGTTTCTTAGCTTCAATTTACTCAGGTGTTCATTGAGGAGACAGTGATGTCCTGTTAAAAACCCAGTGACAATCCTAAGATTGTTTTTACTTAAATCAAGAAAAATTTTTGATTTTTCTCGGTCGTAAGTTCTGAGAAATTCCTTCGAGTGTCTTAGACCTTTGGAGGGTTTCTATTTAAGGTTACGGATGGAGTTTTTCAGTTTCTTGAGTTCCGCTTTAAGTTGGTTTCCACTTGGGAAGCAAAACGGTTCTGGTCCAGTTAGTAGAATGTTGGCTTTCATTTTTTCATTGCCTTCTATCCCTAGGTAGGCTGGCATCCAGAGTAGGAGGACTTTATTTCTTTTTGCCTAATTTGTTCAGCTTCTTTAGGCATTCTTTAATCAACTTCGAATTGATGGTTACTGAGTTGATCGTTTCTAATGCTGCTTGAATATCGGATAAGATGGCTATTTCTTGTTTCCGATAGTTCCTATCTAAGATAAGTTGTACGCATCTTTCGATAGCGTAGGTTCCTGCCTGAAGGACGCTGGGGTAGGTGTCCATTTGTTTGGAGTATTTAGTTTTCGGCTCAAATGAAAACTCCTGTTCCTGCTTTGGTTTTGGATGCATCAGTATACCACGTTATGGTCTTTTGCCATGGCCATCTATGGATTTCAGATTTAAAGCCAGATTAGAAAATCGACGAGAGTCTATGATGATTCGTCTTTGGAAAAAATAGAGGTGTTACACAGGAAAATCAAACACTAAATCACCGCAATACACCAAAACACTTTTACTTTTACACTGGTCGCGCGTTTTAATCATCTGCTGATAATGCTAACATGGGGTGCAACTTTGTTCAAGTTAGCAACCGATCGTTTAGAAGCGATGTCGAAGCATGATCGGTACTATTGTCCCTTTATCAAATCGGGTATTCTCGGCATATGCTGCGAAATATGATATCACTATCACACTCTAGGCTGTCGCCTCGCCGCAAAGCGAGAAATCAGAATATCGCTACGAATGGATGTTGCTACTGAACATAGTGCCTCAAGCTGCAAAATTACTTTGCTATCGCTTTGAAACATGAACAAAGTTGCACCCATGGTTAGCGAAACGCGCGTCCAGTGTAAAAGTAAAAGTGTTTTGGGGTATTGTGGTGATTTAGTGTTTGATTTTTTGACAAACAGAGTTGAAAGAATGATAATTCCAAGAAGGGATATCAATTAATACAATAAAAAAGTTCCAATTAAAGAACATAAAGATTATTTAAGAAAGGGAGATTTTCACAAATCTAAGATTTGTCAGCATTCATGGGACACAGGACACAGAATAAATTTTAACAACGCCAAAATTATAATGAAAGAAGCGACAGCCTCTAAAAGAAAAACAAAAGAGCCTTTTTTAATACAATCTAATAAAAATAAATAAATGTATTGCTCATGCATCTGTAGATGCTAGTAATGTATGGCAATCGCTTCTTTGATTTTTCAGCAGTGTTTTCAAAAAATAATTGTGCACTTATTATAAGACACAGCCACTAGCAGTATTCAACAAATGACTACATAAAACCTAAACAAGTTAACATAGTTACAAAGTAATTAAAAGTTATCTGGGTTTCGAGCTAACATAACTTAGTCTATAAAAAAATTAGACGTTTAAAGTAGATAAGTCTAAACATATTTTAGCGACATTAAAATATCGTCTCTTCCTTGCGAGACGTATTCCTTGAAAGCCGGCCGTACAATCCCATAATACAGTCGACTGGAACGGGATCCAGACGCTTCCGCAGGGATTTCCCTCAATAAATCTAGCGCTCTGGGGGCTAAATTAAACGGGACATTCGGGATAGATAACAGGCAACACGACTACAAGATCACATTGCGATAAAACGGTTTAATGGCGTTTTGTTGATCGTTCACAAACATTGTACTGTGAACTCGATTACCTCGATAATTATTCTTGCTTCCTTTTATTTTATCCACTCTATTCTTTTAAGGTCTTCCTTGGTTATTTCCGTTGAGCGTTGTGCGACCTGCAGTTTTCTTATAATGTCCGTTTTGAGTGTCCAGATTTCGCGTGCATAGGTCATTACTGGTAGTACACATTGGTCCAATGTTTTCTTCTTTAGATAATGTGGCATTCTAGCTTTGAATATGATTGAGTTTCTTCCATAAGTACTCCATGCTAACTTAATTCTTCGGTTGATTTCTGGTAGTAGAAATCCCGAGCTCTGTATTAGTTATCCGTTCATTTGTGTTTGTAGTTCTTCAGGACTACTGGCTATTAGGACTATGTCATTAGCGAATCTTAAGGACGGTCCACACTTGCTATATAACACTGCTATATAGCAAAGTTATATAACATGTTACATATTTTTTAGTTATATTTAGCAAATTTCGATGCTATATAACTTGCTAGATGTTATCCATTTGTAGTCGGTAAAGATCAAAAGATGTTGTGCAACATTGCTATTGTAACATGAAACAACGCGTCCACACTTGCTAAATTTCTAGTTTAGCCGCTCATATTTTCAGGGACGTGCGCGACAGAATCTTATGATGAGCTGATATTGGTTTGTTTATTTACTAATCAATAATACCGTATGATCGAAAAAAAAAACTGCGTCCCGTCGGCCTTCCGTCCAGTTGGCTTGGACATGACGATCGATGACATTCCCCATATAATTTTCTATATAAAATGACAGCGATTTTCATTTCATAGTATGTATTTGGAAACAGAAAAAGTTGAGAAAAAAATGCGTAACCTAATAGGCCAGTTCCAGCGGGAACAAAAGAAATGCAAATCAGGTACTGCATGGTTTAGATGAAGTGGATAATTCAAAATGGTTTGCTTTTGCTTTTAAGTTATTAATGTTTTTAAAAAACAGAAACACACCACGAGAAACAGCCGAGGCATGTAGTGAAAAGATAAGCTAATTGAGTTCAACTGTATCTAGATCTTGCTGGTAGGCTATGGCGGACTCAAAACCGCTTTTTTTCTCGACTTTCTTTCCCTTAGTTCAAAAATAATTACGCACGCCGCTGCTGCGAGCTGAACCTCTTTCTCGCCAAAACGATTCTTGACTACGAAAACTATAATGTGGACGGCTCCCGGTTAAATAGCAATGTTATATAACATGTTACTAAATGTGGACCCTCCTTTAGATGGTTAAGATATTCTCCATCTATTTTTAAACAAAGGTATTATACATTTTAGATAGAAACTGTCGGAAACAAGAAATACACATCTTATTCGATAGTCAAATAGCATTAAAAGCAATCAACTCAGTAACCATCAATTCGAAGTTGGTCAAAGAATGCCTAGACAGGTTGAACAAATTAAGCAAAGAAAATAAAGTCCTCCTACTCTGGGTGCCAGCCCACAAAGAAATAGAATATTATGTGATAATCTACAAGGGATACTTACAATATTTGTTATTGATATATTCATCTCTTTTTTCACTTCAGGCTCTGTTTGATTCTCTACAACTCCACCCAAGAAGACTTTTTCCATGACGCTAGAATCCAACGTGACAACACTGTGCGTAGCAGTGGTGACATCTGTAGTACCGTCACTATCAGAGACTGGGGCAGCGGTAGGAGTGAGTTTTTCTACGTTGGCAGTGTTTTGTTGAGTTGTCAACACCGCTGCATCGCGTTGGGTTAGCTTCCAAGAGACATCTGTGGTCGTAACCTAAAAATAAATTAAATTCAACTAATTTCATTATTTTTTTAACCTTCAAATTAGTGGAATAAATTAGTGGCTTCATTACACTTTATATTTAAAAATTTACGATCATTCACAATGTCTAAAAAATGGAATTAGAATTAATAGAATATCCAAGCAACAGTTTGCGGTAGAAATTGTATCCATAGAGAAAGCCTAATTGTAGAAGCTACAGTGTATTATTATTATAAAAATTTGTAGTTACCTCTGACAGAGGACTTTTAGTTGTGGACACAGGGCTTAAGGTATCTTCTGTCTCCCTCCTATGTCTAGTAGGCATTCCGTAATCCGTATCCACTGTGTTGGAAGTCCAACTTTTCGTAGTTTTGCCAGTTAGGGAGTTGTCGTCCAGAGTTGTGGTGTCAAAGTAGTCTGAAGTAGAGGTTTTGACGGATTTTTCATCTTCTATGTCTTCATGTGGAATGGCGCAAGTCAGTTGCTTCAGCATGTCTTCTCGATCCTGAAATATAAATCTTTTATCAAGATCATGCAAAAACTTCTACACAAAAATACTATTTGCTTCTTTTTTGTATTTTTTATTAGGAGTCATTAACCAGTTAGAGCCATTCAAATTAAAGAAGAAAGAATCTAGAGAAAGATTCTGTTAGAACTGTTATTTAGGAAGCAATAAGAGTTCACAACAATTGTTGCTTCCAAAATAACAGGTATGAAGTAACAGTGCTCTGCCAGCAACCACTCGCCATGTAATGTTTATGTAATGTATTGCTGCTACAAATTAGAAACGAAAAACTACGACAGAACTGTTATTTGGAAATAACAGTTCATAACAATTAATTATTGTTGTTTCAAAAATAACAAGTATGAAAGTAACAGTGCTTTGAGAGCGACCGCTTGCGATGTAATGTGGTTATTGCTGCAACGATTTTTACCGCGTTCAAAGCAGTTTTCAGTTCAAGTGATTTTTAAAAATAACAGATGAGTTTTTTTTATAGAGGACGGTTATGTTATGTAACATAATGTCGAAATCATTATGCCATGAAACTTTATTAGGCATTGGAGTAAGCAATTCGCTTATATTTTTTAATTTCGAAGGCGTAAATAACAGTTCAATAACTGTTGTGGCTTGTGGATAAACTTGTGTGGATTTTTTCATTTTACATTTTTTTGCTGCATTTTGTTATGCCTAGAGAATAGGATTGTAGGTATATATTAGGTAAAAATGATCATACATGATAATAAATAAATAAACAAAAAATAATAGGTATTGATAATGTCACTATTGTTATTTTTAAGCTGTTATTTTTAAATAAGTGTAAAAGTTTCAATTTTTAATCAGAAATAACAGTTTTGTACTTCTGGTGAAAATTATGTACCAATTACATGAAATGCATAAAAAATTTAAAAGATTTCAATAAAATGTTACATGCAATAAAAAGATAAGACCTTGAATTATATAAAACCATATAAAGGCCCTATAACTTTATTGTATTTCTGGTAAAAAGATAGAAGAAAGAAATAACATAATATATTCATATATCATGTTATTAATTTATCATCTTTTATTCACGATTCGACTGTCGAATGTCACGATAAAAAGACTGTGAACACGATGATTGATGATTGTTTTTTTATGATAAAAAGACTGATGTGAACTGAAAAACATAAAAAGAATAGACTGTGAACACAATATACACAAAACTTTTTTAAAACAACTGAACAATCCTATTTAAAAATGTTGGCTAGTTATAATGAAAATGGAAATATACTGTATTCATTAAAATATGAAAACTTTTATTTACTGTTATTTTTTACCTATTTACCACACTTTTTCCTTTTGTAAAAACATTCGAATTACTGTATCAGTTTGTATTCCATGATTCCGAAATTTATATCAAAAGTTCTTTAGACATTTATTACTCTGACTTCTTTCAGAAAGGCGTTTTTTGTGGTAATTTTCTGATTCCATCTTGATCCTTATCTGAACAAATTCAGCCAGTAATAAAAAAGGTATAAATTATGAAATGCCCGCGTAGTACTCCAGAAAATGTCATTCAGCGGAGAGAATTAGATTGCTAAAAATTCTTTTAGCTCTGCAATATTAAATGTCCTTTTATTTTTGTTTAGGTCTGTCTCTGTTCAAAGCTACGCTTTCATTGGTGCAAAAAACACGAAATAAAAGGACTGTGCTGTAGGGGAGTAAACAAACTTTTAATTAACAAAAAGGAAAAAAAAATGTCAATTAATTAGAGCCGTTAGGCTTATTTGATTTAAGGTTGATAAACAAAAATATATTAAACGTTATTAACAATTATTTTTGTCACAAATACGTTAAACAATGTACTTATAGGTAATGTTTAATATGATGTAAGTAGTTATATGTAACAACGTGTATATCATACACTTATATATTGTGCTGTAATGGTATTGATAAATATATTTATAAATTTCAATTTCATATTTTCACAATGTTAATAAACTCTAAAATTGTTTTTAATAAAGCTAACTTTCATTATTCTCTCCATACGCTCCTGAAAGTAAAATCCAAAGATGGTAATTATTGGACTGTAACATTTTTTCCATTTTGTTAATTAAAAATGCTGTTGCTCGCTTACAAGAACAGAAAAATTTTCTTGTTTTTCCGAGCATACGAAAACAAGGAGCGAAAGAAAATAGAAAGAAATTTAATAATGAAAGAATTTCTAGGCACCGACTCACTTCTCAGTGATGTTCATTCAAGCATTGCAATGCTTTTTAGTGAGGTATAATTTATACCTCACTGGAAAAATCTGTTGATATAAGAATCAAGGTAAAGACAAAAAAACAGTAGCTACTAAAAAGTATGAGTTTCTTTCTAATAGAAAAATGAGAGTATCAAGATGAAAAAAAATTACAAAAATTATACTTCTGAAAAACAAGCAAATTACAAATAGTTTCTTGCTCGTTTTCTATTTATGTTTTAAAAAAAATTCTTAAAGTTAATTTAACCGCAGAATAGAAATACAATAAAGTCATATATTGCAGTTGTTTAAATATTATGTATTTTTTCTAAAAGACTGGAAAAAACTGATGGTGGTTAAAAGCTTTGTTGTTGTTATTATAACAAAATGAGTTTAATTTAATGCATTTGTTTCCATTTTCGTTATTCACTGACCAGTGGTTTAAAACAACTGACAAAAAAGGCTGACTTGTTTAACGAAACTTTTGTATTAACTTATGCGTTGTAGTTTGATACTTTTTCTCTCGATAAAAGAAACATATTTTCTGTTTACTGTTTTTTAAATAAGTCCAAAATAACGGAGATATTCTACTTTAAAATTTAAAAAAAATGATTTTTTGCTTACATTTTGAGAACCGCTGGATCTTTTCTGGGTTTTCTTTCTTGTAAATTTAATCTACTACCTATGTTGCTATATTATAAAGATATTTTTAGTTTCTTAACTTAAAATATCTTAGATTTATAGTTTGTAACTAAAAATTAAATTTTTCCCTAAAAGTTAAGCAAACATCACCCTATGCATTATTATTATTGCGTAATAAATTATTAGAAAATCCACTAAATACTGTTGAATTTAGGTTATTACATGAAATCTTTTAAAACCAAAAGTTGAATTTGCAAGTCAAGAGGAGAGCTATAGGATGAACCTTAGAGCTGTGTAAAATATACACGCTAATATTTGAGACAGTGTATTATTATTAACTCTTTTTCAAAATCTCTGAAATATCCTCTAACGAACGTCATTCACAGCGAGTTGCTGAATATTTTTTGTTGTTTGTTTTTTGGATGTTTTTGTTTGCGCTGAAAAATAAGAAAAAAAGGCATCGGGTCGAGTAACTGCACTTTTAATTAACAAAAATGAAAAATATTGCAGCCAATTATCGCCGTTGCTCTGTATATTTTAGAGCGCATAAGGACTGAGTTTTAGTAAACAGCATTTTTACTGTAATAACGTGTAAATCATATACATAAAGATTATGGGCCAATGTAATATAAAATATTTTATAATTAATTACTGTATTTAGTAGTTATTTCTGACATGTCAAAAATGTTTATTTTTGTATGCAATAAAATATGAATAAAATGTAGTTTTATTTTGACAACAGTATCTTTCATCACGTCATGACAAAGAGATTGGTGACGTCATTACGGCATTTTAGCGTAGTTCCAGTGCAGCCAATCGAGATTCTTTGAAGTTTTTACCTCTTTTTACGTATGAAAAGAAAGTAACAAAACATCGACAAAATACAAAGGTAGCTGCAGTTTACAAACGCAGTTAACTGCAGCGCGCGACACTTACCCAAATTGTTTTTCTTTCTTCTTGCTGTGTTGCAAGAACATATTCAAAACGAAATTAGAAAATTCCTGCTTTCCAATCTAGGTATAAAAGTTTATTGAGAAAGTTCCAGCTTTCGAGCGCAATTCCAAACGTTCATTTATGCGCTATAGAAAATGGAACGGTTGATGCGTTAAAGTTTTGCTTTTCGGTAACATTTTAGGAAGTTTTAGTTTTATCTTAAATACAGTATACGTACAGTATGTATTGTCTTGCATCCTTCGTTGCATGCATCCTTCGTAAAAATTTTTGCTTGTTCTAAAATGCTTAAACCCGTTATAATAAAGTTAAAATATGGCGTTTCTATGGTAATATAATTTCGATTTCATTCATTGATACATGATTATTAATTTTGATTAACGTCATATTTTTGCTGTTGTTAGAGTATTACATTTTCCGACAACTATTATCACCCTTTTCGTAATGGAACAAAATAAATTTTGTGCTTCTTTAACGTTTTAAAACAGCAGAAAATATGACGTTAATTAAAATTCTATCAATAAAAAGCTATCAACGAATGAACAATAGTAACGCCTTTTGATTTTTAGGGCTTTTAGGAAAAAATTCAACTATATTTTGTTTGTATACATGTTTTTTAAAATTTCTCTATAACAGTATAGAAATTTGAAAAGATATAAAGTGGATTAACCATTTGAGAATAAGCCAAAATTTTTATGAAGAATGCATTGTCTCAAAACGTCTATAATAAAAAGTTTTTTTTTCCTCTTGTAAAGACAATAAGGGGACGTTCTGTATATTTCAGTCTAATTATTTTATTCTTATTTCTTCTTAGCACCAAAAGGCAATAAAACAAGAGGAAAGTGACTTTAAGAATTAATAACTCGATCCGCACTGAGTAATCTCAATTAAACAAACTATGTAGATCTTGTTCCTTACTTTAGATTCTACATCATAAATCATAAGTACAGTTCATACCAAATATAGTTTTAGTTACGTGACTTGCACGGGCTCGACCGGCACAGCGTTACTCATTTTTACATATTTTCTTTTAATCAAAACATTTTAGGAAACAGAAATAATTTTTTTTCCGTTCAGCTTTCCCGTTCAACATATTCTAATAAAGTTACGATGAAGTTTTTACGACTATTAAGCTGTATTGTACACTTGGCACCAAAAGAGGTTCTAAAAAGAACAATGTTCGACTGCA